CGCGAGCGCGGGCCACAGCTCTTCATGCCCGACGACGTGGGCAGCGCGGAGGGACAGCCGCTGCGGCACCGCGCGCAATGGGTCGGCGGCGCCAGCGCGTTGCCGTTCGCATGCGACCGCTGCGGGGTGCGCTGCAGGGACCGCGCCCAGCTGGAAGCGGGGCTGTGCCGCGGGACGCCTGCCGCCGTGCTGGCGGCCGACGCGACGCACCGCCTGATGACCATGGGCGACGTGGTGTTCTGCTGCTCCTGCGGGGCAAGGGCTGGTGGAGGTGCGGCCATCCTGCTGGCGGAGAAGTGCCTGGGCAAGGTCGCCAACGGCACGGCTGGCACAAAGCTGAACAGGATGAAGGCGGGGAAGCACCCGCTCACGGGCCGCCTCATCGGCGAGCCCGTCCCGCTGGTGGCGCGCGTGGAGGCGGCCCCAGCGGAGGCGGCGCCGACGACGGCATGATGATCGAGGGCGGCGTGCCGCCCAGCTCGGGCACTGCTGCGGCCGTTCGGCCAGCTGGACGGCGGCGGGAGGGCGCTGGGCGGCGCGCGGCCACAGGCGCAGCGCGGCGGCGGCCAGCGCCGTGCCGCGCGTGCGCCGCGGGGGGCTGGCGGCTGCGGCCGTAGGCCCGAGCTCGCCCGCGCGGCGGCGGCGGACGGCGCCGTGCCGCGAGGGCGTGCCGCGCCCGCGGCGGGGCGGCGAGGGTCGTCGCGCCGCGCGGGCGCTCGGGCGGCGCGCCGAGACAGACGGCCCGCCGCGCATGTGTGTGTGCGCTCGCCCTCGTCCTCGTCCTCCTCGTCCTCCTCGTCTTCCTCGTCCTCCTCGTCCTCCTCGTCCTCCTCGTCCTCCTCGTCCTCCTCGTCCTCCTCCGCTCCTCCTCCCCTTCCTCCCCTTTTTCCTCCTCCCCTCCTCCTTCTCCTGCTCCCCCTCCACCCCCAGCCCCCTTCGCCCAGGGGCCAAACCCCCATGTTCTCTTCACAAGACATGAACAACTGGACAACGCTCCCAAGTGGAAAGCCTCAGCATGAGGAACATAAAGGTCCCCCTCGAAAGCAAGGGTTGCGATGACCTCTCGTGCTAACTGTGGCCCGGAGGCGGCTCCGCACACGCCGAACAGCCTCCGCCTCCTCCAGCTGCTGCGCGCGGGAGCTTACTCGGGGACTGCTCAAGTGGGACACACAAGCAACCAACGTCGAATCGGGAGACCGGATCGAATCGGAGGGGACATCGAATTGGGCCGCATCGGCACTCAATCGGAGCCCAATCGGATCGGCCGCACAAGGATGCACAGCAACACCATGCAAGCATCGGGTTGGATCATATCGCTGGAATATTGACATCGAATCGGGCCGAACCCGGCGAATTCGAAACAGGCCAGGGTCGATCGAATCGGCATGGGTCTTGAGGAGGACTAGATACGAAGACGGCGCAGCTCTTCGGATTCCGGGCGCCGTGAATGCCATCAAAAAGACACCACGGGCGTTCCCCCCCGACCTCGTGTCCTTCGGGACCCTCGCGGACCGAACCGGCTCGAATATTGCCGCGCAAATGGGGCCCCCGTAAACAAGAACTTTCATCAGCAAGGGCGCTCGCGCACGGGAGAAACCTGCAGCTGTGGGTCGACATGATCTCCATGATAATTTTCTACCGCTGTGTCTTGCAACGCCCTGGCTTGCATTGTCCTGATTGCTGGGCCCCCGAACACACAGGGGTCGAGGGCTCCGGTGATGAGTTGTCGCGACTTTGTGCGATTTTTGCATGGTCAGGCTTTGCCTAGGGGCTCTGCCGCACTTTGTACAAGAGACTGGCGGCGAAAGTCGTCCGTCCCGCCAGGTCCTCGGGGGTTCCTCGGGGTCCCTCTTCGAATCCTCGGGTTTCATCTCGTTGCTTTAATTTGTATTGTGTGTATTGCAGTGTACTGTTTTGGATTGCGCAGCGCTGCTGTGAATTACTTTGCATTGCATGTTTTTGGGGCTGCGTTGGTTTGCATTGCCCGCCACTGACTTCCGAACAGTCGTATTGCATTAATTTCCCTTGAGTATAATTATGTGCATTGCCTGGCGTTGCTTTGCGTTGCTTGGCATTCATTTGCTTTGCGTTGCAATTACTTTGACTTGATTTGCGTTGCATTGTATGGTTTTGTATGGTATGCACTTCGTTGTGTTGCTTTGCGTCGAGAGTTGTTTCGCTTTCGTTTGATGTGCATTGCTTCGCCTTGCTCTGAATTGCTTGCCATTGCACTGCGTGGTGTTGCTTCGGACTACTTTGTACAACCTCTCCCTGCTCGGAGTTACACTGCAGTGCCATCCTGGCCTTGCACTGCTTCATCTGGCTCTGTAGTGCCTCAATTAGGCTGCAACACCTTGACTTGCACTGTGCTGCGTTGCTGTGGCATGCTCTGTTTTGCTGTGTGCTGTCTTGGCTTGCGCTGCGGAGGCGGGCCCGCGATGGCCGCCTAAACACAATGCGGCAGGCGGCTGCGGGGAGGCTGGCGGCGGCAGGGAGCGAGCAGGGAGAGAAGAATGACAACTCTCTGAATTTCGGGGTCGTAGCACCGACTCTGGCAAGACCCACCCCGGAAACCCAGCCAGGATCGGTGCGCGCGGATAGCTGGCGCCCCCCCCCCCGACCTGTGCACGGCCGCGCACTCGGTGAGCACCTGAGCGCTGTCTTTCGTGCAGTTGGCCCAAAGCGTCCAGGTGCCCCTCATGCACACGAACGCCAGCTTGGCCTCGCCCACTGAAACCTTGAGGGCCAACGATTCGGGGAGGGGGACTGGCTCAGGGAGGAAACATAAAGCTGGAATCGGCGATACGTCGCCGTTAGATCGGCGACGCAGCCCCGATCACGAAGCCGCACGTTCCTGGGCGGGTGGGCAATGGGACCCCTATCGGCGGTGAGTGGGCGATTTGGGGTCGATGCCTTCCCCCTAAGCCCATACCCAGGTGGCCTTCGGGCCATAGATCGGATATAAGGGGGACCCTTCGGGACGATCCAGGCACCCAGGGAACGCCCTCGACGAGGCGAAGCTGGAAAGCTCAAGACTGGAACGCCGCAGAAAACCAACGAAAACTCCCGAAACCGTCGATACTCGAAACTCGAAGCCCGAGCCCATCCCCCCCCTCACTTGGCGGCGCGCAGAGTACGGGGAAGGGGGGACGGCTTCTTAGCAGGTTTAATATGGATCCACGCGCGAAGCGCGCCCCGCTGGGTCAGTTTGTTGTGCTTGCAGTCGCCAACTTCGGCGCGAATATTGGACTTTTAGAGGGTCCTGGGGCGACGCCACGTCGCTGGGAAACCTGCGCTTGATTCCGAGGAGGGGTGAAACGGCAGGTTCGTGGAGTGTCGATGCCGGCGCTGCTTCCTGACACCGCGAGGACCGCTCAACCTTGAACGATCTGCCGTTCCCGAATTGTCTGATTTGGGCGCCCGAGTTATCCGGGGTAACTCGGGTCCGGGGTAACTCGGGTTTGGATTCCCGGAAAAGGAACCCGAGTTAGCCCTGACCCGAGTTACCCCTGATGATTCGGGGCTCTGGACGCCCGAATTATCCGGGGTAACTCGGGTCCGGGGTAACTCGGGTTTGGATTCCCGGAAAACGACCCCGAGTTATCCCTGACCCGAGTTACCCCTGATGATTCGGGGCTCTGACTGATCCTTCGACATCGGCCGATTCTGGGTCGCCGGCGGCGTTCAAGGTTGAATGCCGGCGGCGGGGCGGCCGCCCGTCGACACGACGCAAACCTACCGTACCCATGCGCTCTGGGAGGTCCGCGCGGAGAGCGTGGATTTGCGCGGGGCCCCTCTCCCTGCGCGCGCCAGGGGCGCGCCAGGGACGGCGCCGTGTGGGCACCGCCAGGGGGCCTCCACGCTGATCCAAGGAATGCGCGCGGAGCGCTGAGCGTGTAGACGTCTGCCGTTTGTTCTTCCTCAAGGTGAAGCACGTGGCACCCCCCCCCCCCCTCCCCCTCCCGCTCCCCCTGCCCCTCCCCCTCATCCCTCCTCTCCCTTCTCCTCCTCTCTCCTCCTCCTCCTCCTCCCTCCTCCTCCTCCTCCTCCTCCTCCTCCCTCCCTCCTCCCTCCTCCTCCTCCTCCTCCTCCTCCTCCTCCTCTCCTCCTCCTCCTCCCTCCCTCCTCCACTCCCTCCTCCTCCTCCTCCTCCTCCTCCTCCTCCTCCTCCTCCTCCTCCTCCTCCTCCTCCTCCTCCTCCTCCTCCTCCTCCTCCTCCTCCTCCCTCCGCGTGCCGCCATTTGACGCTGCCCACGGACACCTGCAGCACTTCCACCGCGCCGCTCGGGTCGCAGCGCAGCAGGGCGCAGGAGCCTCCCTCGGCCGCGCGGCCCTCCGCATCGTGACCCGCGGGGCCTTCGCCGGCCTCGGCGGCTCCGCCTGGCTCGCCCTGGAGCAGCAGCTCCTCGACGGACGCCAGCAGCTCCACGGACACCCCGAGCCTGCGGGGAGCGAACAGAACGGCACGAGCAGACACTTTGGGCGGTCCGTGCGGCTCTCTTGGATCTGCGCCGGGCCCTCAAATGGGCCCTGGAAACGACAGGGCCGTTTTTTTACCGGTTCCGTTTTGCCGTTTTTTGGCCGGTATACGACGCCGTTCTTTTACCGGTCCCGGCGCCGTTTTTTTGACCGGTTCTGGCTCCAGTTCCAATCCTGGAGCCGTTTTTTTGCCGTTTCCGGTCGCCGTTTTATCCCGTTTCCATGTTCAAGGGACATTGTTTCGGAAACGGTAAAAAAAACGGCCCTGCCGTTTCCGGGGCCCACAAAGGCTGGCCCCCCCCCTCCGTGGCGCGCGGAGGCGCCGCCAGGGGGGGGCCCAGCGCAGACCCAGGACAAACCCGCGCAGAGCGCCAGAAGCCCATGCTTGTGCCGCTTTTGGTTCTTCGAGAGCCGGCGCGCCAGTCCGAGGGGCGAGTCCTCCAGCGTCACCATCTTCGGGTGGAAGTAGCACAGGTGCTTGAAGACCAGCGCCAGGAGCACGCTGCGCCTCTTGGCCAGCGCCTCCGGCCGCGGCGCGTCCCTGCCGCGCCTCCCCGAGTCCGGCGATGAGCGCACGCCGTCGTCCGCGTCCTCCTCCCACATGTTCAGGTCGACGTACTCCTTGAGGATCGTTTCCAGGCCACGGACCACGTCAAGCGGGGATCGCCGCGGGAACCGGCCCAGGTCGGAGCGCCGCAGCGGCACCTGGGAGACCCTGAAGGTGTTCAGGTGCGCGACGCCCGTCCGCCACGGGTAGTCCGCCAGCTCGGTGCCCTCGGCCGCACTTGGTTTGTGAGTGGTGCTTCGGCGTAAGTAACGCCCGTCGCTGGGCCGTCCCCGCCCCTGGTGACGCAACGTTCGGCGCCGGCGAGCTTTGGAAACCCTGGCAGGCTCAGCCCCTCTGGGCCACTCCCGCTAGTGGCGCTCGGGAGGAGGAGGAGGAGGAGGAGGAGGGAGCAACAACGGGCTCCTCGTGGCTGTCTGCGAAGATGAAGGAGGAGCGGTGCCCAGTGAGCTGCTCCAGGGAGTCCTGCAACTCGGCCAGGAAGGGCGGGGCGGCGGGCTCCGCGGCGCGCAGGAGCTGCACCAGCCGCAACACCACGAGGAACTCGTAGGGGAAGAGGGAGGGCTCGCTCAGGTACCTTCCGGGGGTGCCAGGTGTCGTCGTCGTCATCGCCGCCGCCGCCACCGCAGCCGCGTTGCCGTCGTTGCCGTCGTTGCCGTCGTCGTCGTCGTCGCCGTCGTCGTCGTCGTCGTCGTCGTCGTCGTCGTCGTCCATGTTGCCCCCAGCTCTTCGAATCACTGTGGAGCCCTCTGGGGCCCTTATGGGCCACGAGGGCGGGTGCCACCTGGGCCTTCGAGGAGGTCCCGAGGACACTCTGGGCCAGGGACACTTCTTGCGGCACCCGGTGCCTGTTCTCGCCCGTGAAGAGGATGTCCGCCGCGCCCTGCAGGCTCTTCAGCCGCGCCTGGCCCTCCAGCGCCGCGCTGCTCGACGAGGGCTGCGTGGGGTTGGACTGGTTGTGGATGAGCTGCTGGTAGTGGCCGAAGTACATCGGGCGCGGGGGCACCGTCTTGGCCACCTCCAGGCCCTTCGCGCGCTGGCGCTCGTCGGGGTTGACAGGCGGCAGCTGGTTGACGGCCAGGAGGGCCTTGCGGGTGAACTCCTGCACCTGCGTGCAGATGGCCACGCACAGGCCTCCAGCATCCTCCAGCGGCAAGGGCAACTGGGAGGCGATCAGCCGGCAGCACACGGTGATCTCCTCCTCCAGCTGCGATGCCTCGTCCCCGGGCTCCGAGCGCTGCGCTGGGTCGCCCTCGCGCATCGAGCGCTCCTCCTGCAGGCAGGCCTGGAGGCTGTGGTAGGCGAACGCGAGGATCCTGAGAACGACGTTCCTGGTCTCGACGGCCACCATCTCCCTCCTGAATGCGTCCAGCACGCCTCCCCTGGCTGCGCCACCGTGGCCCTCCAGCTCGAAGCAGACCGGGAACAGCGAGTGGGACGTCGCGTCGGGCAGGCACAGCTGGTTGAGCGACCGCTCCACGTATGCCTCCGCAATCTGCTGCGCGGTAGCCCTCAGGTACTCGGGGAAGCTCGGGGCACTGAGCAGCAATCGTATGAGGAAGCAGCCTGGGGGCCTGACCCGGCAAAGCACCTGGAGGGTGTTGGGGCACTGCATCATCTCCCCCACGAGAGTCTCCTCGCCCCACATGGCTTCCGAAGCCATGTACTCCAAGAAAGCCGCCGCGAGCATCCGGTCCTTGGAGCCGTAAAACTTGTCATCCAAGAAGTCCATGGTGTAGAACCGCGGCTCGGTATGGCGGCCGCCGAAGTACTCCACGGACGGCCACGAGTGGTACGAGTCCTTCAGCCCCCAGGTGCCCTGCCCTGCGCCGTAGAGCTCCTCCTCCTCGTAGCGGTCCTCCTCCTCCTCGGCCGTCACCTCTGAAGGGGCCCTGGGACACCCAAATAAAGACACACGAATAACCAGATTCCCCGCATCTTCACAAATTTTCTGGGTTTTCGTCTTTCCCCCACTTCCCATGTTTTCCCATCTTTTCTGGAGGGTCCACGATGAATTGTGTCTGTGTTTTTGCTCCCCCCTTCTGAACCTCCTGGCGCTCGGTGCCCCACGCGCCGCCGCGGATGACATCGCAGATCACCCTCATGCCCTCGCCCGCCCGGAACAGGCTCCGGCCCCGCTCGCCAGCGCTGGAGAGCACGTTGAGCAGGAACTTCCAGACGTGCGTGCGCATCGGCGTCCTTGGAGGGGGCCCTGGGACACGCAAACAAACACACGCAAATAAGCGGACTCCCCATACTTTCCCCATCTGTTCTGGGCTTTTGTCTCCCCCCCCCGCGTTCCGTAGTTTCCCATCTTTTCTGGGGAAGCGACGATTCGTTGTGTCTGTGTGTTTTGTTCCCTCCCGAGTCCTGTGCTCGTGAAGCGAGTGGTGGGAGGACACGTCCAGGCGGCTGAGCAGGTAAGGCACCGTGCGGCCGAAGGAGAACAGCGACACGGCCACCGGCGCGCTCTCGTCGGGGCGTTCGCCGCCGTCGCTCTCGAGCAGCAGCCGCTTCTCGTCGTACTTGATGACAGGGGAACGAAGAATGGCATAAACATAAAAACTCGGAGGTCCCCGCGGAGTTCTCGGATCGGCGCTGGAGGCGCCGCCAGGGGGGTCCAGCGCCGATCCTAGAAATCTGTGCGGACCTCCGAGTTTTTATGCGTCTGTCGTTCTTCGTCTCCCTAGATGAGCACGTCGAGCATCTCCCCGCGGTCGAAATCCGCGCGGAGAGTCAGCAGGCTGCCGACCCACTCGGCCACGGTGTTGCGCCCCGTGCCGCCGCCCGCCGCCAGGCTCAGGCGGCCGGGCTTGGGCGGCGCGTTGATCAGTTGTCGCTCTGCCTCTCGGGCGGGTTGTGATGGGGGGGGCGGCAGAAGGAAACAACTAGTGGACACTCCCCCGCTCCCCCAAACTCAAAGTTGGCACGCGCGGGGAAGACTGTGGTCGAAGTGCAGCTCGTTCAACCCGCCGCCAACATTGACCATTGGGGGGGGCATTGACAGAGGAATGCGGCAGGAGTGTTCGCTGATTCCTTCCGAGGCCTGGTCGACCTGACTGGGGGAGTGAAGAAAGGGGCCCCAAAGGGGCCCCTTTTGGACCCCTCCTGGCTCCAAAGGGGACCCCAAAGGGCCCCTTGCGGGCCCTTTACTTCACTCCCATGTCTGGTCGCCCCCCGATACCACCCGCCCGAGCCTCCAGGCTGAACTCGGGGCCCGGCTCGAAGCCGACTTCCAGGAACTCTGCGGCGCGCTGTCGGCAGAGGCTCTCGTAGTCCTGCGTGCCCTCGTGCACCCGGTAGTTGATCAGCGCCACCGTGAGCCGCGAAGCCTCGCTCACCGCAGCCTGCGAGAACGCGCAGGTCCGCACCAGCGCGGTGGCAAAGCTGAGGGTGTCTTCGTGGATCAGCAGGCAGGCGAGCTCGCGGCAGCGCTCGGTGAGGTCGGTCAGCTTCGTCAGCAGCTCGGTGACCTTGGCGTCCACCTCGGGGGAGGGGGGTCGAGCGGTGAAGGAGGGATGGGGACAGGGCTGGAGCCGCCACCTCGGGGGGACACCGCTGGCTGCAGTCGCCCTCCACGACAGCATCCGCGAGCTGATTTCGCAGGTCGAGCGCGGACAAGAACGGCTCAACCTTGTCGCTGCAGCGGCCGATGTCCTCCGCAGTCTCGTCGGTGAAGAGAACCTCCACCTCCTGCTGGCTGATGCCTAGGCCTGGCAATCCTGTGGAGGATTCGCCTTTGCCAGTCTCGTCCATGGATGTGCGGAGCATCAGCCAGCGAGAGATGCGATCTGGCTGGCAGGGCAGGAGGTACCGGTGCAAGTTCCTGGCGTACAGCCGCTCTACGCGGCTGCGCCACTGCTTCACCGCGTCGCGCCACACACCGCGCAGCTCCGCCTCAACCTTCACCACACTCTCGGCGAACCACTTGACGTCCTCTAAATCTACCAGTGCGAGCCCCGACAGGAATCTGCGCAGGTCGGACATCGTGACGCGGGAGTCCTTCGCGTTCCCGCGGACCACCAACGCCTCCGGGATCGAGAACTTCACGCTCGCGTCGGCCTGCATCGCGTCCAGGATGTGCGCCAGTTCCACCCGGCTGACGAAGCCCCTGCGTCTCTGGTCGAGGGCCGCGAAGATGTCCGCCAGGACGCTCTCGCGCCCATCCTCGAGCTCCTCTACAGCAACAGGCAAATCGGCGCAAGCGCGCACTGGACTGGCATAGAGAGATCCCGAACGCCAACGCTGCAAAAAGAAGACACGTGGAGAGCCAACATCGACATGCGCGTGCACAGCACGGCACGCGGGCACAGCACGCCACGCACACGGCACGGGCACGGCACGCGGGCACGGCACATGCTCGCTGCCTTCTGGGAGCGAGCCCCGGCTCGGCGCCTCGGCACGGCGCGCGGGCACACGGCACGCGGGCGGCACACGGCATGCCTTCGACGATGCAGCGGCACGCGGGCCCGGCACGGCACGGCGCGGCGGCGCGACGCGCGGGCACGACGCGCGCAGATGGCACTCGCTCCCGCAGCCGGAGCACCCGGGCGCGACGCGGCGCGCGCGGGCGCGGCACGCGGGTCCGCACCCCTGGAGGGTGGGCACGGCTCCGCGCGCGGGCACGGCACGGCACGGCACGCGGGCGGCACGGCTTTCGCCTTCTCAGGCCCGGGCACGGCACGCGGCCACGGCGCGGCCACGGCGCGGCACGCGGGCGGCGCATGCGAGAAGGCAGGCACGGCACGGCGCGCGGGCGATGCGCCGCATGCTGGAACGCGGGTGCGGCACGGCACGCGGGCGGCCCGCTCTGTGCATTCTGGAACGCAGGCGCGGCACGGCACGCGGGCGCGGCACGGCACTCGTGCGGCACAGCCTTCGCATTCTAGATCGAATACAGAAGCGGCTTGTCCTCTTTTCTTCGCATGCCAGAACCTAGGCGCGACACTGCACGGCACTCTTTCCGTATTCCAGAGCCTGGGCTTGGCACGGCACGCGGGCACAACACGGGGTTTTAGGACCTGGCCAGGGCACGGCGCGACACATTTTCCGCACTCGAAAGCCTAGACGCGTCACGCCACCTCGCGGGTACAGCACGGCATTTCGACGGCAGATGATTCCCATTCTGCTTCTCAGAAACGGGCTTCTTACATGAAATTCACCCCCCTTGCAGCGTTCGCGGTTTAGGGGACTTTCGCAAGTCCGCGCGCTGGACCTCCCTCTGTGGTGTGTGGAGAACGCCAGGGGCGGCGCCGGAGGTCCCGCCAGGGGCGTCTAGCGCCGATCCAACAGATCCGCGCGGACCTCCAAACATCTATGTTTATGTATTTGCATTCAACTTCGATCCTCAGCGTCGTCCCCCATGCCGGCACCGAGCTGGAGGCCTCCCAAATGGGGTCGGGATAGCTGGGGTCGGAAGATCGCGCCGCATCGCCGATGCATCGCCGATGCATCGCCGACGCACCGGTGATGCGCGCGCGACGCCGGCGAGGAGTCGGCGACGTCTGCGGGCGACGTCGGCGTGGAGAAGATCGGGCTCCTCGTCGCGCCGCATCGTCGATGCGGCGCGATCCTCCGACCCCGCCTGCTCCGACCCCATCTGGGAGGCCCAGAAGCGAGCCCCCCTCCGAGCGTGGAGGTCTGGGCCTCCGGGGGCGGAGGCACCGGCGGGTGGGCGGCCTGGGCGGCAGAGATCGCAGAGCCTGGGGCGGACGGAGCCCGCGGGCGGGCTCGGCGCCCGTGGGGGTCGCAGGCCTCCGGCCAAAATGGCTGCGAGGGGGAGGAGGAGGAGGAGGAGGAGGAGGATGAGGAGGAGGAGGAGGAGGAGGAGGAGGAGGAGGAGGAGGAGGAGGAGGAGGGGGAGGAGGACCAGTGTAAACCCAAGACCCGTCAACGATGTTGCAATACACCCTCTCTCAAATGAATCCACAAGCCCCTCGGAGTATTTATTTGCACTGGGAAGTACCCCATTGGAAGACAGCCGTCTGAAAATCCAGAACCGCCCCAGAAAAGCCATGTCTGGGAGCTGCGAATCAACGTCACTGTTGCGTCCAGGCGATCCTGAATTGTGTCACTACTGCGTCACTGCGTCACTGTTGCTTCACTATTCTCGGGGCGTCAAACATAAGATTCCTTGAAACGGTTGTAAGCTCGTAAGACGAATGTGCGCGGCGCTAAAGCCAGAACCACGTTTTGAAAAGAAACCAACCATCTGTGAAACTCCTGCACACTTTGAGACGAATGCGCGCGGCGCCTAGTCGGGAGCCACATGTCCTCTATGCGCGAAGCTCTTGCAACAATTGCCAACGCACGTGCGCGGCGCTGAGGCGGGGACCACATTGCGAAAACCGCCCGCCCTCGATTGTGAAACAATTCCGAACTTTGAAAGCGAATGTGCGCGGCGCTAATGTGAGAAACCCATTTTGGAAACGACCCGCCCTCCATCGGTGAAGCCGTTGCGAATTCTACGCCTGAGGATCATAGGTGATGAGAACGTGAGGACGTCTCAGGGGAAACGGCCGGCCCGCCCTACGGACACGTCTCGGATTGCGACACGGGGGAGTTATTTAGAAGGAGAAGAGATGCAGGAGGAGGAAGAGGAGAATGATGATGATGAGGAGGAGAGTGAAGTGAGGAGAAGGCGGAGGGTGAGGAGGAGGAAACATCATAATACGAAAACTAATAATATTGGCCTGAAGAGGAATAAACATATTAGCACTACGAATATGAAGACTAACAGCAAACATAAGACGAACAATGACACTAGCTATAAGAAGGAGACGAATATAAACATACGAATACTTTTAATACGGTTAAATATTATGATGCTGATACGAACTCTGAAACATGTGAAGACGAAGACCAGGAAAGGGGGGGAGTGATGTGGATGATGATGAGGATGAGGATGAGGATGAGGAGAAGGAGGCGGAGGATGAGAAGGAGGAGGGAGGAGGTGGCGGAGGAGGAGGGGGGGAGTGAGGAAGAGAACGATGATCAGGAAGGAGGAGGATGAGGAGGAGGGGGAGGAGAGGGGAATGGCAAAGGGAGGAAGGAGATGAGGAAGGGGCAGGGATGATGAGGACGAAGGAGGAGGAGCAGGGACGCTAGACGGTGCCGAGCTCGTGCAGCCGAGGGAGTGGAAACGCGCGCCGACCGGAGAGCGGAGGCGGGCCAGACGGTCCAGGCTGAGCGACCAGGAGACCCTGCGAGCCGCTCCCCAAGACGAGCAATGTCAGACACCCCCCGACCAGCAATGACAGGGCGGCCGTTCGCCCAGATCCCCCCGAACCCTCCAAGACAGCTCAGATATGACAACCCCCCCTCTCCTTTTCTTACAGTCGTCCGGACCTGTGCCAGAAAAAAACACATCCTGCAAGAACATGGGGCCCTCCGTCGGCCAAACCAGATAAAACATCCGAGTGTACCCTCCCCAGGATGCACGAGAACCTCGAGCAACACACGAAGAGCACTGGGGTACCCTCCCCGAACTGACCTCGATCTTATACCTCGGCCCGACAATATGACATCCCGAGTAGCTTCCGCTTGCCGCAACAAGCCTCACGCGACTGGCACCACGGCGTGAGCTGGAAGACCCTGCAGGCCAGCCCAGGGGCGCCGCGCGAAGCTCCCCTACTGGCGAGTGCTTCAGTTCGACGGCGCACCCGGGGACGGAAGTGAGAAGGGGCGGGCCTTCTCAGAAGGCTCCGCAGTCCCTCGGCCTTCTGAGACGTTTTCTGTGCCTTCCCCGGGGACGCAGGAAACTTCTCAGAAGGCGCGAGGGCTTCTGAGGTGTCCCGCCGCCTTCTGAGAAGGGCTTCTCCTTCTCACTGCCCCCCCTCGCTCGCCGCCGATCGGGGGACGGTGGACGAAGAAGTGGGAGGGAGGGCGGGAGGATGGGAGGAGGAGGGGCATGTTGAGACCGCCCCTGACTACTCGGGGGTCCTGTCGAGACCAGCCAGGAGTACCTGGGGGGGCTGTCTGTGCGCAGCCGGAAGGTGTACCAGTGAGAACGAGGCCTTCCCCCTGCTTGTACGAGCCTCCGACGTCCACATGTTCCATGCCTCCACCAGCTCAGCTCCACGCAACTATGCGATTTTGCCGCAACCACTTCGCCAAGGACAGACAGCGGCGCGACCAGCAACCCGCCCATTGGCAGGCCTGCATCTGCGACCTCGACGAGACACAACACTCCAAGACGAGCACCGTCAACGGTGTCACCAGACACGCATACACCTGCTCCCGCTGCGGCGCCGTGCGCTCCATCCCCAGGCTCGGACGATCCCGTGCGCCAAGCGGGCCACTCAGAAGACCTACAAGCAGATCCTCCCGCACCTCGTCGGTCGCCGCCGGACCGAGGCGCTCCACCGCGGGAAGGCGCAAGCCAGCATCAATCATAAGGAAGCCATGGCGGCCATCAACAGGCGCCGCCGATCTGACCCCGACTACCGCCAGAAGGAGCGAGAGAGCAACGGGGCCCGCCGCTTCTTGGCGGCGAGCGCAAGGGGGTAATGGGAGGGGGAAGGGCTCCTTAGAAGGAGGCTGCTTCTTAGAATCCGCCGGCCCTGTATCTGTAGAGAAGGCTCGCGCCTTCTAGGAGGCAGGGGTGCTTCTAAGAAGCCTTCCCCCCTCCCCCTGCCCCCCTCCGCGCGTGGCCGAACTTCCGCCACCACGCCCTCGGCCTCAACGCCCGCGGGCAGACGACGGCTGCCCCCAAGCGCCGGCCCGCCGCGCCCGAGCGACGGGGCCCTCTCCCGCGGGGACCAGCGCCCGCCGGCGCCTGCGCACCTCCTCCTCCGCCGCCTCCTCCCCAGGAGAGCCCGCCCCACACCGCTGACGCCCCTCCCGCGCTCAAGACTGCTGCCATCAGCATCACGGCACTCACGCGTGACCGACCGCAGGCCCTGCTCCAAGCATCGGGCCAGACGGACTCCCAGCTGGCCCCTCCTTCAGAAGGCGCGGCACGGCAGCATTCAGCCCAGTTGGGCCTTCACACTCGCAAGGGCATAGGTTGGAGCATCGCCTTCAGCCCACCGCCCCCTGGCAACCACCTACAGGTAGTGAAGAACGGCGGCGCCGCCACCCTATGGCGCCCCTCCCTCGAAAAGACCACCGTTGTCCGCGACCAGGACCTGGGCCCCCGTGTCCTGTGTCATCGGACTGCCCACGCTGCGTCTTCTGCGACTTGCGAACCCGCTCAGGCCGATTGCCTCTGGACGGCTTGCGCTCGAGCCTGTCTGGAACCGACGGTCACCGACAACCATTGAGCAGGGACCGACCGTCCCAGCATTCATATAGTCCTACCACGAAATGTTCTTAGATTCCTAGAATGGTCGAACAACAAAAACAATGCTCTTAGAACATCAGGCTCCGCCAGAAGTGTTCTAAGAACATTTCGTGGGAACCACAGAAGGTTCTTAGAACATTGTTTGGTAGGGCCATAGGCAAGCCAAGACGCTTCGTAACTGCTTGATGTCTGGAACCGACGGCCACCGACAACCGCTCACTACTGGCCATAGGCGACGCCCACTGGACTCCCCCTCCGACGACGCCGATTTCCGGCGCCGGCTGGACGAGCGCGACGGCCCACACCACGACCACGGCGCCGACGGCTCCCGCCCAAAGTTCTGGCCTCTTCGGAGCCCCGGGCCCGCCCGCCCCGGCAGAACCCCTGAGGGTCGTGGAATGACCGCCGGGCAGTACTGGGAAAGTGCTTCATGTTCCGCGGGCTTCTTCACGGATTGGGCTTATTCCCCCGCGGCGGCCCCCGCCCAGGCCTCCGCTAGAGTCGTCGCTAGTGCCCCCCCTGCTTCTGCGGTGGCCTCACATGCTTCTGCTGTGGACGACGAATGCAGTTTCTGAGGAGGAGGAGGAGGAGGAGGAGGAGGAGGAGGAGGAGGAGGAGGAGGGGGAGGAGGAGGAGGAGGAGGAGGAGGAGGAGGAGGAGGAGGAGGAGGAGGAGGAGGAGGAGCAGGCCGAGGAGAAGGATGAGTAGGAGGATGAGGATGAGGAGGAGAAGGAAGAGGAGGAGGAGGAGGAGGAGGAGAAGGAGGAGGAGGAGAAGGAGGAGAAGGAAGAGGAGGAGGAGGAGGAGGAGGAGGAGGAGGAGGAGGAGGAGGAGGACGAGGACGAGGAGGAGGAGGAGGAGGAGGAGGAGGAGGAGGAGGAGGAAGGGTAAGGAGGAGGGAGGGGAAGGAGGGACGAGTTCCTATTTCCCTCCGAGAGCTTAGGGGGGATCCTCAACATTCAAGACCCTTCGCGGTTACCATGACCGACTCCAACTGCCTGGATTTCCCCGCCACAACCTCGTCTATTCCACGCTCCAAGAGGACATCCGGGAGGCCAGGATCACTGATTTTCCTAAGGCTTTTCCATGACTTGCCTTTTCGAGCATCCGACGCTCCAAGACGGGCCCATAGGTCGCCAAGACGCCCCAAGACGGCCCAAGAGGACCCAACGAGGCCCGCAATATTGCCCAAAGGGGCCCAAAGACAGCCCCAAAGGCCCCCCAAACGGCCTCATAGACCTCCAAGACGGCCCTGAAGCGGGCTTCAAGGCCGCCTCTGAAGGCCAAGAGGTCCCATAGAGGCCCCAGAGGCCTCTAAGAGGTCCCCAGAAAAGCCGCAGGAGAACCCCATTAGGCCCCCGAGAGATCCCTTGAAGCTCCCCCAAAGGCTTCCAGGAAGCCCCTAGGAGGCCTCAAGGGGGCCTCAATCGGCCTCCTCTTATTCTTCTTCCTCCTCGTCCTCTTCCTTCTCCACCTCCTTTCTATTCCTCTCCCCAGTGTTCCTTGGGGAACACATAGACCAATAGCTTTGCCAAACTTCGGCCCAACGTTTGGCCGCGTGGGCGTTTCCAAAATGCAGGGGGCGGCGGTGATTCGCCGTAGGCGTCTCAGATAAGAACGGCACTGGGCAAGACGGAGAAGGAGGATCAGGAGGAGGAGGAGAAAGAGGAGGAGGAGGAGGAGGAGGAGGAGAAGGAGGAGGAATAGGAGTGGGAGGAGAAGGAGGAGGAGGAGGAGGAGGAGGAGGAGGAGGAGGAGGAGGAGGAGGAGGAGGAGGAGGAGGAGTGGAGGAGGAGGAGGAGGAGAAGGAGGAGGAGGAGGAGGCCCGACCTCCATCCGTGAAACTGTTGCAAAGTCTCAGCTTCAAGATCATAAGTGGTGAGGAAATCTCAAGCAAAACGCCTGGCCCACCCTACGGACCCGTCTGGGGGTGCGACAAGGGGGAGGAGTTACCTATAAAGAAGAGGGACGGAGAGGCGAGGGCGAGGCGCGCGTGTCCGCCGGCTGGTGGCTGGCGGTGCCCGGGGGGCCGGCGCGGGCGGGCCGGGGCCCGTGGTAGTTAGACGTTGGAGTAGGCAATGAAGTCGTTCTCGCTCTGCGTATGAACTCGTCCCACGGTTCGAGGTCAGAGTCGTCGTCGGCGTCGTCGAAGTTGAGATGCCGCTGGATGTCGTTGGAGTTTGTTTGTGGTCCGTCGTCGGGCTGCTCTGTGTCGGAGCTGGTCCCGTCGTCGCTTGGTGTAGTCTGGTTGTTCACTCGTCGTCTGGGGGTGTTCACGACGAGACGTAACATGCGTCGCTGGGTGCGTCTCAGTGCTAAGAGCATGTCCTTGGTGAGCGTCCACGAGGTGCAGCCATACATGACAGTAGGCGTCACCGTACCATTGAAAAGTCTTAGCCTGCTATGGAGAGAATATCGGCTGCTTGTTAGTTCGTCGTGGAGCTGGTTGAACGCGCCCCATCCCATTGCAATTCGGTTGGATAGCTCAGATTGGTGGTAATCGTGGAAGGTCAGCTTCCGTCCCAAATACTTGGTGGTCTCTCCGGCTCTGAGGATTGCAATCACGTCGCCGTCGATGTCGGCATGACTCGGCATGATGTCGAGGGACGGAGGAGAAGGAGGAGGAGGATGAGGAGAAGACGACATAATGACGAGCGAAAGAGGACACGAACGAGGGAAGGGGGGGGCCTCCCCTCTCTCTTGGTCGGCTACACGCAAGAGTGACCCTATAGGCAAGAGTGACCTTCAATGCGCGGATCAAGGCGGCGCAGGGTGGCCAACTCCAAGCGCGCAAGAAGCAACCACTACCACATCGCGCTCCGCGATCGGGGGGACACCGGTGAGTCCGCACCAACGGTCACTGCGGCGAAGGGTCACCCTTCCCAGACCCTCGCCGTCATGATTTCTTCATGGCGTCGACCCCTAGAGATCTCGACCCACTCCCTGGGACCAACTTTTCCTCCCGATTCGTTTTTCTTGACGGTCCCGAGGCCCGGCAAAGGGCGCCCGGCAGCCAAACATAGCGAAAAACCTCCCCTCGTGATTTTCTCATTGCTCGAAGGGGTCTGGGGACCCCCGAGAGGAGGAGGAGGAGGAGGAGGAGGAGGAGGAGGAGGAGGAGGAGGAGGAGGAGGAGAGGAGGAGGAGGAGGAGGAGGAGGAGGAGGAGGAGGAGGAGGAGGAGGAGGAGGAGGAGGAGGAGGAGGAGGAGGAGGAGGAGGAGGAGGAGAGGAGGAGGAGGAGGAGGAGGAGGGAGGAGGGAGGAGGAGGAGGGAGGAGGAGGAGGAGGAGGAGAGGAGGAGGAGGAGGAGGAGGAGGAGGGAGGAGGAGGAGGAGGAGGAGGAGGAGGAGAAGTCGACGTGTCGTCGACTTTGGAGCCCCGGCCGGGGGCGGCCGCCGGCCTGTGTCGGCGGCGCGCCGGGCTCCCCCGCGGCGGCGCGGGGCAGCAGCGGGCTGGCCAGCGCCTCCCGCCAGCCGCGCCCCCAGTCGCGTGGCTGCCCCGAGGGCCCCCAAGGCACGAGCGTCGGGCCCGGGGGAAGGGGGGGATAGCAAAGGGGGGGTTTGAGAATCAGCTCACGTAGCTGATTTTCCCGGCGCCTCCCGGCGCCGGGAGGCGCCCATGTATCGAGGAATGGGCCCCTCGGTGAAGCCGAAATCAGCTGCATGCAGCAAATTTCGTACCCCCCCCTTTCCCAATCCCCCCCTTTCGCCCGGCCCGAGAGCGGCGGGCATATCCGCGTCCGCTCGGGCGGGTGGTGAGAGGCCCAAGAAGCCCCCAAGGGGCCCCCAAACTGCTCCCACTGGGGCCCCCGATAGCGCCCCCAGAGAGACCCGAAGAAGCATCCGCGAGAACTCTGGCCCACAACTCAGGCGCGGTGGCGGGTTGGGCCGGAGGTCACTATGTAGAGGGGAGGCTACATGGGGGGGGTGAAGCACGTGGGCCCTAGATGGATCCTGTATAGGGCCCCTTCTGGAGCAAATAAGGAGGTCCAATAAGGCATGTGTAGTCGCGCCGTTTATTGCTCTGAGCGCTCCTGAGCAAATGAAGCCAGCGCCGCGGCCAACCCCATGCGGAATCGCCCTGGTGGCCGAGGCGCCCTTCCAAAGGCAGAAGGCCGCGCGTCGGAACAAACGGCGCGGCGAGCATATCCGCATCCGCGCCCTGGTGGCAATCAGTATGAGTGTTGCAGGCTGTCAGCGCGCAGCGCCAAGGCGATATCACCATTCTGAAAACGAACCGACGTCCAGTGTTGTAGAGGTCAGGTTCGTTTAATGCAAATGAGCGCGGCACCCAGACGAGAGCCCCATCTTGAACACCACTTGTGCCCCATCCGTGTGACTTGTGAAATTTCAAGCCTTGAGAACAAACGTGGTGAGGAAGTCTCTGGCCGAACGCCCAGCCTGCACTGACGACACGTTCGGTGGTGCACAGGGAGGATGTACCCGCAAGGAAGAGGATGCAGGGGGGGGCAAAGAGGAGGCATAGGAGGCACAGGAGGAGTGTTTCCTGTGGGTTGCTCCTGGGCCCCCTGGTCCCTCAGGGCGGCTACGCGACTGTGGAGCTGCACGCGTTCGCCACCAGCATGTCGTGGACCTCCTCGGCATGGGGGGGATGGCTGCTGGGCCACCGAGGACGAACGCAAGATACGGATCCTCACCCCAGGCCTGCCTGACCATTGCCGAGCTGCAGAACTCCCGCGCGAGAAGAGGCGCCGCCCATACCACTCGGCGCCACGAGTATATGGCCATGTCCCGTGGCCGCCCGCGGAAGCAGGACCGGCCGAAGCACTTCTGCCTCGGGGAAAAGGGGCCGAAGAGCTCCGCAGGCCCCACGCCGCGAGCAGAACCGTGGCGTGGGAGGTCTGGGCATCGGGGGAGTGACGCATGCACATGTTGCGCGTTCGATCATGGACCCCTCGCCACGCATCTTGGCCTCTGAAACCGCCGAAAGACCGCCGAAAGACCGCCAGCGAGCGCGCGCCCCCCGCCGAAAAACCGCCAGCGGGTCCATGACCGAACACGTAACACATGGAGAACCAAGAGGGAGCGGGGAGTGGGAGGAGTCCTGCTGCATCCCAGGCGGCGTCACACGTTGAGGCTCCGCCTCCCGCCTCCCTCGCGATCTCCGTGCTTCCGTGTCCTGCCGCCTGCTCCACTCTGTTCCTCTCGCTCTCCTCCGAGACCTCCTTCCCCTGCTCCTCCGCCGTCTCGAACGCCGCGTGCACCTGCTCCTGCTGCTACTGCCACTGCGCAGCCACCTCCTCAGGGGAAACCTTGTTAGTCTGGCGCCCGTCCTCCACTCCCCATCGACGTTCAGCCCGTCAAAGCACAACGCTCCAGAAAGCTTGACCAGCAACGATTATAGAACACCTGGGCTCTCGGAGACACTGCTTCCTACCACCCACAGAAGTGCTCAACGAATGGGGGGCTTCAGACAAGATGCTTCGTTCGAAAAAAGCGGGCACGACTGCATCTTTCCCAGAGAGAGAGAGAGAGAGAGAGAGAGAAAAGAGAGAGAGAGAGAGAGTGAGAGACAGAAAGATAGAGAAAGAGACGGAGAACGAGAGAGAGAGAGAAGCCCTGTGGAAGACTAGACACCGACATACAAGCAGGTGGCAAGGAGACGCGTTCAGTGGGTCGAGAGAAACCGAGGGGAGTTCGGATTCCCCCAGGGTAGCTAGCCTCGGACATGAAGGTCATGGGCGGCTCGGACTGCGACCTGAGGGCACTTATGCAGGCTGCGCAGGATTCTTCCTCCTCCTCCTCCTCCTCCTCCTCCTCCATTTCTCACCCTCTCTCCCTCCCCCCTGGCCTCCCGCGCAGCGTGCGCGCGGTGATGGGGAAGCCCGAGTACGACGCGCCGTCCTCGCGAGCGGTGGGGACCGGCGCTGCTCTCCGCGACTAGGCACAGCGGGATCGGGCACACGCAAACATGGATCAGTGCTCCGTGGATCCGGCGCGCGAGCGCCAGATCCACGGATCGAGGAAAGTACCTCTCGGAACGCGGCGCCGATGCTGCCGTGTTTGGCGACTGCGCGCGACGGTTCTGCAAGGAAGCGGGACCCGTCGCTAATCCACGCGCCCGAATCCGTGTCTGCGCCTCCTCGGGGGAAGAGGAGCGCCCACCAGACCACTGCATACCCTGGATGCGGCAATGATTGCCCCCCCGCCCTGGGTCCACGGGGGAGGGCTGGGCACGTGTTGTCAGAACGGCTAGAGGAGGGGGTGAGGAGGAGGCGAAGGAGGAGGAGGAGGAGGAGGAGGGAGATGGGGAGACGGGCAAGCTCCGTCAAAAGGTCAACGCCCCCCCCCACCCCCTTGAGAAATACCCCATCCAAAGTAAGCATCAACTTTCGGAGGTCCGCGCGGAATTCTCGTATCGGTGCTAGGCCCCCGTAGGGGCGCTGGCGGAGCCGACCCAAGGAATCCGCGCGGGCCTCCCACCATTTTTGTTATGCAAGTGTGTCTTCGAAAGGATCGCTCCCTCCCACCTCGGGGGGTGCCCAAGAGGGGGGTGTCCCAGAGCGGGGTTCGTAAATCATTGCGCAAAGCACGTGCGCGGCCTGTGTGAGAGACCAAGGGACGTATTGAAATAAAGGGCGGGGGCCGTGGAATCCGGGCAGACATCGTGGCCCTGGCAATCATATCCAGCCCCCCCCCCCACACGTCGGCCGGAACAAATAAGTAAAAACATGCAGTAGGAAGGCGGATCAAGTACATTGGGTTCAGGCCCTCCCAGAACATATTCAAACTCAGCAAAAAAGAAGATCGATTCTTGAAGGTAGGAAGGCGCTCGAAGTAGACTGGGATCTGGGAATCCCGAACTACGCACTTTCAGCGACAGGCGTGCAGCCACCCCCCCCTCCGGGCCGCCCCTGGCCATCCCCCTTCCTCCTCGCCTGCGGCGGAAGCGGCGGGGCGAGCGCGGCGGGAGCGCCGAGGCCCGTCCTGCGCCGAGGGCGGCCACTGGGCGAGCTGCTCGCGGCGCCTCGCGATGCGGCGCCCAGGGGTGGGCTGGTCGAAAGGACGCTGCGCGATCGGCCGTGGCCCAAAGGCATCTCCCGTTCAGTCTGGAAAGATAAGCCCTCAACGGCAGCGCCAAGCGAGCCCGATGCCCTCTGTGGCTGCTTCTCGGAGCGTGTCGCCAGGGGGTTCCCGCAAGCAGCGCCTGCGTCTCTTCCCCCCGTCCGTGCCCTCGTCTGCTCTGCTCATCTTCTACAAAAACGAGTGTGCTGACACGCCATCAATTTCAAATAGGTCGCCCTTTCCCCGTTGGACCACCAGGTGTATCGGCAGGGCGGTCCAGGCGTTTCGCCCGAGACGTTCTTACCATGTGTGGTCCTGAGCTTCCCCTGATCGGCTCTGAGATCGTCGTCCCGGGATGCGCGGTCACCGCCACAGCCGCCAGGAATGACGAGACCTTCCCCCCGGACAAGAGGCAGCAAATACCAGCCGACCTCGCCGCCAGCGTCCCGGGTGGCGACGGGGTGCGCGCCCTCTGAGGGGGGGACATCAACATGCAGTGGGTCCACCCTGGGGATGGGGAGACGGAGGCCGTCGCCAGCTGGATGTCTGCCCTGGCCAGGCAGGGGTCGCACCTCCGCGACGGTGAAGCGCAGATCGATACGGTCTGCCCTCTTTTCCAAGCAAGGCTGTACAAGATCCGGAAGACTTGGGAAACACCCCTGTCTGACCACGCCATCATTTACGCTGACCCGACCGCCTGTGGCCATCCCAAGCGCCTACGGCCCCACCGCAAAGCGGCACACCCCTCACGCGGATCGTGCTGCCCCGCAGGTAACTGCACTCAGAAGGAAGCTCCGCACAGCGTCGCCACACTCACGTCGGCAGACCTCTCACACACGGATCGTGCCTTGCAAGGAATTCCACCTACGGCCCCAGAGAAACGGTTCGCATCCCGCCCCCCCCCAGCCCATTGCGGCACACCCTTCACGCGAAACGTTTCCCACTGGGAACACCACCCACAGCCCCAGAGACACAGTTTGCAAATCGCCCCTCTGCCCAGATGTCAGCACACCATTCACGTGAATCGTGGACTGGAACGGTCCCCCCGCCCATTTTAGCATGTGCCTCACACGGGTGGTGAGGCGCCCAGATTATCTGGCATCCCCCTCACGCGGATCGTGCAAAACACGGAGTTCAGCCGCGCCTGTGCACACTTGCTCCGCAGCAGCCCGTTAACAGCTCAGTACCGCGGTGCGGAGTGTACGAAGGGAGGGCCGCGTCCTGCGCTACGCGTGACTGCGTTGGGATGGATCCGTCGCCAGACCAATTGTTTGCTTATACATGGTCTTCGGCACGTACTGCTACCGTGCCTGAGTTTTGGGCCAGAGGCTTATTGGATACCTGTAATTCGGGGTCTCTGGGCATGCTTCTGGGGCGCCCCGTGGAGCGAGTTCTGAAGCTTTTCGGGGCCTCGTGGGGGCCGTTTGGGGGCCTCTTTTGGAGTCCTTGGGGGCCTCTTGGGGGCCTGCTGGCGGCCTTGGGGGGCCACTTGTGGCGGAGGGCTCAACATGTCAGCTCGAGTTCCCCCTCTTGGGGCCCTCTTGGGCCGTCCTGGGCGCCTGTTGAACCCTCTTGGGGCTCCCTCGGGCCGTCCTTGGGCCCTCTTAGGGGCCGCATTGGCTGTCTTGGGGCAATTTTGGGGTTCTCCGGGGCCGCCTGGGACGCTGCTTAAACCCAAAAAGCGAAAATGCTGAAAGTGCACGTCCCCCACAAAGGATGAAACAATTTTGGCCTCCTGGGGCCTTCTCGGGGAGCATCTTCGCACTTAGAAACTTCATAAAGTGTCTTCGGGACCTTCTGGGACATCTTGAAGCATTCTTCGGGCGTCCTCGGCCATGTTGGGCCGCTCTGGTCGCTTTTGTATGCCCTCCGCAACTGTCTTGGGCCGCCGGAGCCGGAAAAAGGGTGGGAATCTGGGAGGATGTCCCGGCCGGGGGCCAGGCCCCCGGTACTCCGGCATATGCTATATACATATGTGTAGAAAGATATATGGCCAGCCTCAACGCATCCTCGTACAATCGGTTGAACGGTGTCCGCGAGCACGAGTCCAGAACGTACATTACCTGGGAGCCGTAGGATCTTGTTCTCAGACCTCAATGTTCTTCTCCTCCGTCACATCCTGCAGCATCCATTTCAGCAGAAGCCGCTCTTCCACGCTCCCCGCGGCAACTTAGCCACCTTCATTCGACTGACGACGAGTGATTCCGTGCCCCTGAGTGCCGGACAGCGTTGCCATTGCGATTCGAACTGCTTTGAGCTAGAGGTCACGAAGTGCGCACGGGCCTTGAGTGAACACTCATGGCGGCTGTTCCCCAGCATATATGACATGAAACGAAGCAACAACACCATGGTGGGAAACATACTCTGGCGCCTATGAAACCACATGGTGGGCCTGGATACGAGTACCCGAGCCACCGCAATGTCTCGGAACACCTCGCCGAGCGCTGAGTTTCCCATCTCCTGCCATAATAGCCCGGTCTGAGTAAACATCATACACTCAGGGTGATCGAAAAACCCAACCGCTTTGTGGGTACCGCTTTCGGTGAAGCTCCCTTTGGGGCCACGAACCGTGCGAAGGGTGTGACGATTTGGTTGCGGTGGCGCCATGCGGGCGCTGCCACTGGGGCCTTCGGAGGATCCCCTTTATGGGGCTCCCTTTGAGTCCACGAAGCGTGTAGTGGGTGTGCTGAAACGAGCGCGGTGGTGCCATGCGGGCGCTGCCACTGCAGCCTTCGGTGGAGCTGCCTTAGGGGCCATGAAGCGTGTGAGGGGTGAAACGGGTTCGGTGGTGCCATGCGGGCGATGCCACTGGGGCCTTCGGTGGAGCTCCCCATGGGGCCACGAAACGTGAGGGGTGTGCCGAAACGGGTGCGGTGGTGCCATGCGGGCGTTGCCCCTGGGACCTTCGGTGGAGCTCCCCATGGGGCCACGAAGCGTTTGAGTTGCGTGCCGAAGCGGGTGAGGTGGTGCCATGCGGGCGCTGCCACTGGGGCCTTAGGCGGAGCTCCCTGTGGGGCAACGAAATGTGTAAGGGTGCGTCGATTTGCTTTACCTGCGGAGGGCGGAGGCAGGGCTGGGAGGAGGGCGAGGAGGAAGGACGCGGGGCGCTGAATCTTCAAAACGATGACCCAACACCACAGGATGGTTGGGAACACGTGGGCGGACGGAGAATCCGATAGGCGACCAATCACCAGCAATAAGCCAAGCGCCGTCGCCGCACAACATGTGCGTATCGGGCTCTAGAAGACGACCCCCCCCATAACATACTACATTCGCTTCTGCGACGGGATGCGCTGAGCGCTGAGCGGGATAACAATGATGCCGAGTCCGTCCTACCATGGGAACGGGGATGCCAATGATGACGGCATTGATGGTGTTGCGGAGGATAAGAAGGAGGAGGAGGAGGAGGAGGAGGAGGAGGAGGAGGGGGAGGAGGAGAAGGAGGAGGAGGAGGAGGAGGAGGAGGAAGAAGAGGAGGAGCGCCCGTACCTCTGAAATATTGGTACGGGCTGGAATGAACGCTGTGAGAGGAGGAGGAGGAGGAGGAGGAGAAGGAGGAGGAGGAGAAGGAGGAGAAGGAGGCAGGAGGCAGGATGAGGAGGAACAATTGCTTGCATGAAGGCAACGAGCGGCAAAGAGGAACAGCTCACTGCAACAAGACAACACTCCCAAGCTCAACTTCTGGGCCCGCCACTGCCTTCCGACGTTGGGAGTTGTGCAGGACGTGGGCCGGGGGGCTCTCGACCCTACGGCTGGGAATTTCTGCACAGCGTGTCGCCAAGGCGGCGCCGCGCCAGCGCGCTCAGGTCGGAAGTCTTCCGCCTCCGAGTGACCCCTCCTCCTTCCTCCTCCGCGGCCGCCCTGTCCGTCTTTTCCCTTCTCCTGCATGCTGGGCAATTCGCTTCTCGGTGCCCCCGTTCAGCTCTATCGCTGGTGCAGCCATTCTGCCTCGCCGCCGACGAAGAAGTGTCGCCCAGGCGGCCTCGGCGACGCGCTATGCCCTGGGGGTGGACAGCGTGTCGCTGCGCTCCGTTGGGCGTGAGCCTCGCAAGAGGTCGGGACGTAGACGCTCCGGGACTGCGAAGTGGACAGCGTGTCGCACCGAGGCGCGGTGGGCAAGACTCGGCGGAGCGACACGCTGTCCAAGAAATCCCGACCTGACGCCCGGGACGACTTCTTCGCCACTGAGCTGTCTGCGGCTGGCCCCAGCGCTCGAGAGCTGTGCCGGGGTGCCGACACGGCCGGGAAGCGTCCGCAGAGCGGCAGAGGTTCTGGTCGAGACGCCGGAGGTCTGGGCTCACCAGACACTTCGACAGTGGAGGAGGCAACCCGCTGCTGCGAGGCGGGGATCTATCAATATCCACTGCCTGGGAACCGATGTCCTGGCGCCCCAACGGGCGGTGGATATGGATATGTTTTGGCTCCTAGGGGCCCGAGTATCTCCATATCCACCGCCTGCCGAGGTCTCCGAACATTGACTCTCTCGGCGGTGGTCCTGTATAAATTCGTTTTCCAAGCGACGCCCATGTAGCAGTCCTCTCCAAACCGACCCCTGGACCCCGAACACCGTCCTGGCCCGCTTACCAAGCCGCCCCCCGCCGTGGCGACTCGTGGGAGGGCAGGGGGGGTACTCTGGATGGGGCAATAATTGCCCCCACCTTGGACCCGCTGGGGGGATTGGGCTCGGGCTGCCCGAACGGGTGGAGGGGGGTTGGACGAGGAGGAGGAGGAGAAGGAGGAGGAGGGGGATGATGATGATGATGATGATGATGATGATGATGATGATGATGATGATGATGATGATGATGATGATGATGATGATGATGATGATGATGATGCTGATGCAAGATTTCGAGGACGGCTCTCCCCAGACGGTGGCAACGGCAATCAGCCAACAATCTTCGGACGTGGCATCCGGGCACGAGCGGACCAGGCGCGGACCGCACCCCGCAGCTCAAGTGCCTCATCCTCTCATGCCCTCCTCTCTCGCATCCGTGGCCTTCCTGCATGCTCCCGTCCTACATCTCCGTCCATCCTCCACCATCAATCTCAATTCATTCCCCCTCCTCCTGATCTCTCGTTGGATTTTGACTCTGAAGAGGGAGCCTTTTGAGGCGTCATTGGTTTTCTGGCCGTGGACGGCATCTGATCGATCGGATCGGCCTTCTCCTCCTCCTCCTCCTCCTCCTCCTCCTCCTCCTCCTCCTCCTCCTCCTCCTCCTCCTCCTCCTCCTCCTCCTCCTCCTCCTCCCCTCCCCTCCTCCTTCTCCTCCTTCTCCTCCTCCTGCTCCTCCTCCTCCTCCCCCTCCTCCTCCTCCTCCTCCTCCTCCTCCTCCTCCTCCTCCTCCTCCTCCTCATCATCATCATCATCATCATCATCCTTCGGCAAGTAGTGCCTGGGCAACGCTCCAAAAAGAGGCTCTCCGCGGCTTCCCCGCGTGCGCCTCGCCTCCTCGATCCCGACGCCGTCCGCCGAGGTCCACGCTGGGGTCGATTCGGGAGAAGCCGGAGGAGGCGGCGGAGGAGGAGGATGAAGAGGAGGAGAAGGAGGAGGAGGAGGAGGAGGAGGAGGAGGAGGAGGGGGATGATGATGATGATGATGATGATGATGATGATGATGATGATGATGAGATGATGATGATGATGATGATGGTGATGGTGATGGTGATGGTGATGGTGATGGTGATGATGATGATGATGATGATGATGATGATGATGATGATGATGCTGATGCTGATGATGATGATGATGATGATGATGATGATGATGATGATGGTGATGGTGATGGTGATGGTGATGGTGATGGTGATGATGAGGAGGAGGAGGAGGAAAAGAGGGAGGAGAAGGAGGAAGAAGAGGAGCAAAAAGAAGAGGAGGAGGAGGAGGAGGAGGAGGAGGAGGAGGAGGTCGATCCGGGAGCCGGAGCGCAAGTTGTTTCCACGGAGGTCCGCGGGCGGCGCCCGCCGAGGCCCCGCAGGTGCGCGCGAGGTGCCGGGCCGCGCCGCAGAGCTCGGCCCTGCGCGCGCCCTCGGCACGGATGCCCCGGCTGCCGTGCCGTGCTGAGCTCGCCCTTCGAGCGGCCCGCGGCGGAGGTCACCACGAGCTCCCGTGCGTGCTCGTCGAGCTTGCCCTCGGGAGTCTCTGGGTGCTGCTTCCCGCCGTCGGCAGGCTGCTGCTGCTGCGGCGCGAGCCTGCCGCGCAGTGGATGCGGCGCTCGTGGCCCCTCTGGCAGCTCTGGCACGCAGCCGTCGTGCTGCTCGGAGCCAGCGCACTGCTGCACGCCGCCGTGGTGCTGTTGCGGCTGCGTGTCTGCCCGCTGGCGAGCAGCTGCGCCACGGCCTGGATGGCAGAGTGCCTCGCCAGGTCGCCCGCAGCCTTAGCCTGCCAGGTCGCCCGCCCCCACGGGCTCGCTCAGCTTCGTGGTGGCACGATGGAGCGCTGTTCCAGGGGCGCGCTCTGTTGGCGAACTCGGGAAGGAAACGGAGATGTGTCTTCCAGATTTGCTCGAGCCAACGCTTCTGAGAACTCTTTCTCCCCGTCCGCCTCGGTTCGTCCTCTTCTTCCCTCTTCCCCTCGGCGCTCCTGCTCTACTCACCCCTCCTTCATCTCCTCCGCGCGAGAAAAGAAAGGGCGATCCTGGCTAGCCTGGGGGACCCGACACTTCGGCGGCTGGCCCATCTCCGTGAGTCTCTGCTGCAAAGCCTTAAGGGACGCCCTCAACACCTCGGGCGGGATGCGGAGGAGAAGGAACACAATGTGGAGGAGAAAGACGACGATGACGATCACGACGACGACGACGCCGCCGCCGCCGCCGCCGCCGCCGCCGACGACGACGACGACGACGACGACGACGACGACGACGACGACCGCGACGACGACGGCGCCTGGTCGACCCTCCCTCGCTCGTTCCGCCGCGGTCCAGAGCTTCTCTGGGCTCATCGTCGGGGGGGGGATTGGCTGGGCTGGGGCTGGGGTCGACCTCCAGTGTGGCCTTGCACTGCTTGGGTTCAGCTCTCGGGGGGGCCGAGTCTCTTGGGTCTCGGGCGCGGGAGCGCCGTCGGCAACTCGCGCCCCCTGCCGATGACCTCGTGTGAACGTGGTGGCACATTTCTAGCCGTTGCCGAGCTCCTCCTCCTCCTCCTCCTCCTCCTCCTCCTCCTCCTCCTCCTCCTCCGTCCTGCTCCGCCCTGCTCCTCCTCACTCCTGCTCCTTTCCTCACAGTCCTTGCCACGGCCGCGTCATGTGTGTTCAGCTGGCTGGCAACCTGGTGCCACAGGCGTCCTTCACACATAACAGCGGGGCATCTCCTTTCACCACCGAGGTCGCACCCATCGCTCAAGCCGCTGCTGAATCTTGAGCAAGAGAACAACTGGAACCATCAGACGTAGGACCCAGGGCACCGCAATTCTCGAGATTCCGCATTGCATTGTCGATCTGGAGCTCGCCTGCAGTGGACTCAGCTGTGCGAAATCAAGCTTGTGCGCAAACGAAAGCGTGATGTTGGATGTCTCCGCTCTAGGCCAATACCGATGCGAAAACAGAAGCCAGGGCTACTTCGAACATCGGCTCCCCGCCTCCCCAGAAGTATCATTCAAGAATTCGTCAGCCCCGTAAGTACCAGCGTCAACAGTGTCGGCCCCTTGGGGGGGGGCAAGGAGTTGCTTCTCGGGACTCCCGAAATGGAGGTGGGGTGCGAGTATCGGGGGGAGTCCGCGAAGGGCACAGGAGTCCCAGGCCCTCTCAGACAGGCTCATGACGGCCCAGCAGGGCGCCAATATTTTGCCCCGACGGCCCAAGAGGCCCACAGGAGGCCACCAGGACGGCCCAATGCCACCAGAGCGCACCAGCGGCCGTCCAAGGCAGCTGACCAGATTGAGGTACGCGCGTATATGTTAGATGTGCATGTATTTATATGTATGCATACTTCTACTTATCTGTTTACAGACATGCACGATTCGCCACCCTGCCGTTGGCACTGAGTGGAATGTCCACAGATCCCTTCGAGTTCCTGGTGCTGACTATTGCAAGGGCTCTTGCAATGGCCCAAGCCCCAGAGCTCCGGGGCGTTTCGGGCTCTTCCAGGTGCTTTCGGGGCGTCTCGCGTGACTTGTTCAGATTTGGACGCCCAACATGGGTACCGAAAAAATGGGTACGATGCCCAACAACAATGTTGTCCCAAACCAACAGCGGCCGCTGTTGGGCAGGCGGCCTCCTGTTTCAAATGGACACAGGCCGCGGCGACACCGACAGCGAGTCCTGTTCAAAATGAGCAGGAACTGCTATTGGGCATTGTACCCATTCTTTCCGTACCCATTTCGGGCGTCCAAATCAGAAGCCTCGGGAACCTGGCCAGGATTCCATATTTCCAGCTCGACCTGCGATGGTGTCGAGGGCGCATCCAGGGCCGTTTGGGAAGCCCTCGGGCTAGGATCAAAAGGCCAAAGCAATTGAAAAGCCCGAGAGGCCCTCGGAGTGTCGGGCGCCCGAGACGGCGCCACAGGCTCCCAAGATCGCCCCAAGACGGCCCCCGAGGCCCCAAAGATGGACTACGAGGCCCCTCAGACGGCTCCAAGAGGGCCCAAGACGGGGAACCCAAACTGACGATTAGAACGCTTTTCCCCGAGATAGCACCTGACACCGTCAAGAGGCACCAGGAGGCCCCAAGAGACCACCAAGAGGCCCCCAGGAGGCTTCTGGTGCGCGGCCCAGGCACGGTGGCGGGATTGGTCGACGGCCAATGGATCCACCGCCCCCTGTTGACTTGTTCTGGCCCTTACAGCTTAGAGAAGTTCCCAATGGGGTCTCGGCCCAGCCCGGCCACCCAGAATTTGGGTCCCCCGTCGCTGCAGGACGGCCAGAATGGCCTCCAAGACAGCTCAGATGGCCAAGATGGCTCCCAAGACGCCTCCAAGACGGCCAAAATGGCCCCGAGACGGCGCAAGATGCCCTCCAGACGGCCCAAGAAGCCCTCCAGACTCCAGGATGCCCAAATCATTGACTTTCTGTTGGTTTCCATCTGATTTTAACGCTCTCGCCTTTTCGGGCTCCCAACGCTCCAAGACGGCCATGACAATCCAAAAGGCCCCCCAAAGGCCCGCGAGACAGCCCCAGAGGGCAAGACACCGCCAAGACGGCCCCATGACGGCCTGCAGGACCCGCTCCACGTTCCGAACCCCCCTTCCCGATTAGTGTGTGCGAGTGTTCGGCTAAGGCTCTCAAGATCGGTGTGGGGGGGTTCGCGTGTGAGGGCTAGAGTGTCAGGCTTCGGGTGTATAGAGGCCTCTCAGATGGTGTCGGAGTAGATGGGGTCGGAAAATCGCGCCTCATCGCCGATACATCGGCGATGCATCGGCGATGCATCGGCGATGCACCGGCGATGCATAGTCGACGCGACGTTGGCGATGCATCGGCGACGTCAACGTGAAAGAGATCGGGCTCCACATCGAGCCGCGTCGCCGATGCATCGTCGATGCGGCGCGATCCTCCGACCCCATCTGCTCCGACCCCATCTGGGAAGCCTGGAGCGTATGAGCTTCGGAGCTGGGGTCCAGGATCCCCACCCTGGCCTGGGGACCCCCACCCGCCTTTGGGCCTGGGACGCCCAGCCTCTGAACCCCCCGACGGGTACTCGCTCCCCCCTGTGAACCCCGGCCTGCCCGCCCTCTGCAGAAGAGGAAGGCAAAGGGGAAACCACTCGATCGTTGAAGAAGGAGGGCGCCTGAAAGTAGATTCGGAGCCGAACATCCAGAAGTACCTACTTGAACGACCAAGCCCCATCGGGAGCGGCCAAGAGGGGGGTGTCCAAGAGGGGGGGGGTGCAAATCATGACCGGCGGCATGTGCGCGGCCCAGCGGGGAGGCCAGGGACGTAATGAAATAAGAAGAGGCGGCATGAAATCTGGGGAAATATTATTGCCCCCGCCATGAGATCCCCCCCTCCCCTAGTCATCACCCCCCTCTTTTCCGCCCACGACCCCGCTGGCCTGGGACCCCCCCCCTGGCCCGGGACCCCCAGCCCCACCGGCCCAGCTCAGGCGTCAGGGCGCGCGCTTCGTGCCTTTTTCTACGGGGCCCGCGCCGCGGCCGGTGCTGACGCTCCTCCTCCTCCTCCTCCTCCTCCTCCTCCTCTTCCTGCTCCTTCTCCTGCTCCTTCTCCTCCTCCTCCTGCTCCTCCTTCTCCTCCTCCTGCTCCTTCTCCTGCTCCTGCCCCTCCTCCTCCTCCTCCTTCTCCTTCTCCTTCTCCTCCTCCTCCTCCTCCTCCTCCTCCTCCTCCTCCTCCTCCTCCTCCTCTTGCTCCTCCGCCTTCTCCTCCTCTGCCTCCTCCTCCGGTTCCTCCTGCTCCTCCTGCTGCTGCTCCTCCTGCTGCTCCTCCTCCTCCTGCTCCTGCTCCTGCTCCTGCTCCTCCTCAGCCTCCTCCTATTCCTCCTCCTCCTCATCATCATCATTCTCCTACTCCTCCTGCTCATCCTCCTCCTTCTCCTCCTCCTCCTCCTCATCCAACTCGTCGGGCACCCCAGCGGACGCCCCTCGGAGAAGGCAGGAAGAGGAGGTAAAGGAAGTGTGACTGGAGAGGCTTAAGTGAATGAACCCCTGATCAGAGACTGGAGCAAGGAAGTGTCATGTCTGGACTGCGCAGAGCAGGTTGCAAATGAAACGATACGAAAATAGATCGTGACTACTGGACAATAGATCACAAAAACGAAACCACGCGAACCGAAGCGAACTGGACCTTCCAACCGAACCCGACCGAACCGGCTGGACCGAACCGTGCGAAAACCGGACCCGAATGGAACCGCAACTGGACCCGAACCGAGCTGATCCAAGCCGAATCTGTGCCACATCAAACTGGCCAACCAAACAATCAAACCAGGCCAACTGCAAAACCGGAGCGCTCCAAACCGTGCCGATCCATTCATGTTCATTGCCTCTCATTGCGAACCGCCCGTGGGGAACCCAAAAGGTACTGATATCGCTACTCCCTAGACCTCTCCCGGGGCGAGTTCTGACCAGGATTTCGAGGCGAATCCAGCTGTGGCGACGAAGATCTCCCAGCAGCCCCCCAAAGGGGGAAAACGAGGCAAGGGTAGCGGTATGGGTACCCGTCGGTCGGAAGAAGTAGGTAGAATCATGAAGCAGGACGGCGTTGGACGTAGATTGGGCTCCCGCCCGCCCCCTGAAGAGGAAGGAAAAGGCGAATCCACTCGATCATTGAAGTAGGAAGCCGCCGAAAGTATATTCGGATCCGAAGGTCCAGAAATACCCACTTCAACGACCGACGGTTACTTTTTTCCCCTCCGTGCCCGAGCCGTTTCCCTTCCCGTGACGCTGAAAAGGGTCTGCAGCACGGCGGCGGCGCGCCCGCCTCGTTCGCGTGCAGCGCCGCCCGCTGCTCCTGGCGCGCCCGGCGCAGCTCCGCCTGCAGCCGCCCCAGCTGCGGCGCCATGGCCGCGCCGACCCCTGGCATGCCGCGCCTCCTCCTCCTCCTCCTCCTCCTCCTCCTCCTTCTCCAGGGGCGAGGAGGAAGAGAAGGAAGAAGAGGAGGATACGGAGGAGGAGGATACGGAGGAGGAGGATACGGAGGAGGAGGATACGGAGGAGGAGGAGGAGAAGGAGGATCGCACGCCACTGAGGGGAAAGGGGGGGAGAAAGTCCGACGGTCCAAAAAACCCAGGGGGCCCATCAAAGGGGAACTTTTTGTCACCCTGGCAGGAAGGCCAAAGACCTGCCAGGGGCCAACGACAGGGCCCCCCTCTGGGTATCTAACCGCCCAGTTCTTCTTCCTCCAGATCTTTGTCTGGGTCTCGCTCCTTCAGCTTCGGTCCCAATTCAGCGGCTTCGAACTCATTGAGTCCAAACGCTTGCAGGACATCTGCCAGGCACAAAAATGCACGTGCAGGTGGGTCCGAAGTGGCCCTGGAGAAACCTCCTTCTCTCTTCTGGGCCTTCTTGGACTCCGAATCCCCCCCAACCAGCTCTCGCGCCCAAGCCCCAGGAGTTCGCCAAGAGCCCAGTTTGAGAGGCCTGTTGGGGTGCTTGCCCTTGCAGACAGCCCGAGTGTTCTTCCTGCCTGGGTCCACCAAGGCCTGCTGGGACCCTCCACAGCTCTTTCGTAGGCCTCTGGATCCCGCAGACACCGTGGCATACCCCCCGCAGGTCGAACAAAAAAGAATGGGAGGCTGGTTATCTTCAACCGCGAACTGAAGCAAAGCATGCCCTCCAAAGAAGGCGGGGGTCTGGCGGGCATCCGCTGCCAGCGCCAGCAGCTCGGGCACCAAGGGCCCAGATGGAGGTCTCGAGGGCGGTGGAGGCTCGTCGGGGGGAGGAGCAGGAGCAGCAGCAACCTCGTCACCGCCCCCCTCCTGCCTCCTCATCGCCTCTAGTGCCTCCTCCAAGTCGGATCCCCCCTCCAGGGAGATCTCTGTGAGCCCCTGGGCTCCAACGTTGTCCCACCTGCCTTCCTGCACATAGTGGCCTTCAGCCCTACGAATGAACTGAAGGAGCAGGCGTGAGACATGGAACATGCCTTTGGACATCATGACCACATTGGACGGGCAACGACATAGCTCCGCACCCAACTTCGCAAGTCGATCAGCTTCGTCATTGCCCTCCCTCTCAAAGTGGCTGATCCGTCCTTCGCGCGCATCTGTCATCGACGTGTGGGCCGCCACCTTACAAACACTCACCAGAACGGGCGTTTCTTCACGGAGTGCCTCCTTCCAGATGTGTGCCCGAGTGTTGCCATCTCTCTGCGCATATCTGGCATTCTGACAACGTTGAACTGTGCCTTTGCAATCGGAATAAATCGTGTACCTGCCTACTAGATGTCTCAAGGCCATCAGGATGGCGTAATCCTCCCCGTCTCTGGCAACCTGGTCGGGGCCTTGTGGTGGGGGGACCGCCCCGTGCCACCCCGCCAGGGGTCGGCGATCATTGTCGAAAGCCGCCGCACCCCAACCAGCAACCCTAAAGGACGGAAAGAAACCATCGACCCCAGAGCCATCGCAAAAACACATGGCCACCATCCAGCGCCAGCGGCGCCGCTTGTCCTTCAACCTTGAACTCCCACTCAGGGTTCCACCCAGGTCGGGAGAAAACTTGGCAAGGGTCGGGAAAGATCCCCCTGGCGAGCCTCTCTTGCAAGTGCGCTGGCCCTAACCGCAAACGCTGCACTGGGCCGTCCAGGTCCTGCGGCAGATTGTCTCGACGCCAGCTTAGCCTAGCGGGGCAGTCAAAATGGCGATGGAACCAGCTGCCGATAGCTTCCCCACATAGGAGACAGTGCGACGGCAGGGCAGGGTCATGCCTGTGAGGTCGCGCTTGGCATCAATGCGAGCCAATCACGAGACCTCGGAGAGTCCTCTGCTCACGAATCTCCCACCGCCCGCCCCTCTCACCGTCGTCCTCATCGAGCTTCCAGCGTCTATGCAGAAGCTCGTTCAAGGGCCGCCACAAGATGTCACCAGACCAGCCCTGACCACGGTCGATCTTGGCCAATCCTTCCTTGTCCGAGAAACGCCGAGCAGCGAATCGGGCCCTCCTGGTCAGGAACACTGGGGAGACCTGGCGAAGATCCCAAACCTCCCCCGTGGCCTCCTTCAGGGTCCACGGGTTCTCAAAAACAAGGCCCACGCGAGAACACGTGATAAGGAGGGCCGCAATGGGGTCTCGAACGCGGGCCCAAGGTCTGGACAACTGAAGCAACTCCTGGCCACTGGAAAAAAGGGACTGCACCACCACAGGTGCCAGGCGTTGACCCTTGAGGATCTGGCTGTAGGTGCGGAGAGCATCGGCCGTTAGGATGACCAAAGGATCCCGAGCCCAACCTCCCCTCACACACATCAAGGCCAACTCAAGGGAGCATCCTTTGGGGAGCCTCCCTTCCGCCCTAACAGCGGCAAGCCGAACTTGTTTCAGCTTGCCATTGGGGAGGCCCTGGATGTTGGCTCCCCAGAGGGCCTTCGACGTGACGCCTGCCCTAAAAATGGTGCCACACTGAGCCCCAGCCGCTCGAAGCGCGAGGACCTTCGCCACTTTTTGCTGGGACTCCACAAATCGCTCGTGCTGGGTGCTCACACGCCGCCTGGCGCCATCAGTGGCGCCCCCACCAAGGTCCCTGTGAACCTGGGCGCGCACCTTGACAGGCAAATCACACTGCCTGGACAACTCCTGTGCCAGCGCCGAGGAGGAAGCGAGCAGGCCTAGCTTGTTCATGGCAGTGGGCAGGCCCATGCGCTGCAGGTCCGTCGTCACAGACCGAAACGAAGTTGCCAGCTCACGCGTGATGACTGTCTCACCACCGACTGCATGCAGCGAGACGTCGTCAATGACGTTCTTAATGCACACTGTCGGGTTGCCAACCATGGCCTTGCGCAGCACCCCAAGCAGCAGCAGCCTGGCAACCGTGGTGGCCCCCGAGCAGCCGGCAATGACCGTGCCGTTCGGCTGGATCACTCGACTGATCGCGCCCTGCCAAGTCACTCGCCTCGGGCCGCGATAGAGGCAACAATACGCTCGCAGGAGCGCTATCGGAAATGAGCTAGCCTGGGCCGCTGCCAGCAGCTCTTCGTGCGAAATGTGTTCGTAAAATTTGCGCAGGTCCAGAAAAAGTGTCGCCGTGGACAGACCTGGGACGGTGCGCGCGTAGGCGTTCAGAGCATTGTGGACCCACGCACTCTTGTCGCAAGCCGTGCTCGAGCTGAGACCCCAGAAAAATGTCGCATCCACCGTTCGTTCCCAGGCCGCACAGAACCCATGCCGAATGCGGCTCCAGACTCTGGCCCAGAGGGGAAGCAGCCCTGTGGGCCTCACCCCTCCCGTGGGCTTGTCTAGAAAGACCACCAAGACCATCCAGAGGGCCCCCCCCACAGGATGCCGCTCCCAAGCCGTTAGGATCCCCGCAAAAGCTTCAACCAGAGGCCTGGGGAGCTGAAGAAGGAGACGCGGGCTGAAGGAGTCCCAGCTCAGGGCCGTCGAGGGGCTAAAAGACGCCGCCGCTTCCAGCACTTGGTCCGCCGTGATCGGCGGCAGGTCCTCAGGGACCGACCACCCACTCGGGGGGGGCATTCAGCGTCGCGCGCTGGGTTGGTCCAGATCGGGATCCAATCGCGCAGAATGCGATCGAGTGCCGCCTGCCCTACAAGCGGCCTGGGACCTCCTACTTGCTCAGTGAAATCCTCGTCATCAAGGACTGGCAAAGGAGGCGGAGCGGGGCCTTTCGAGTACCTGTGAGCCGCCCGACCTCCACGACCGACCGACGAAGGAGGAGAAGGAGGAGGAGGAGGAGGAGGAGGATGAGGAGGAGGAGGAGGAGGAAGAGGAGGAGTTGGAGGAGGAGGAGCAGGAGGAAAAGGATTGGCGCTGCGACCTCGTCGCTTAGAGTCTGCGCAACACAAAGAGGATGAGGAAGAGGAGGGTGAGAAAAAAGAGGAGGAGTAAGAGGAGCAGGAGGAGGAAGGCGGAGGAGAAACGAGATTGAGGAGGAGGAGGAGAAGGAGAAGGAGGAGTATGAGGAGGTGGAGGAGGAGGAGGAGGAGGAGAAGGATGAGGAGGGCGGAGGAGAAACTAGGTGGAGGAGGAGGAGAAGGAGCAGGATGAGGATGATGAGGAGGAGGACAAGATGGAGGAGAAGGACGAGGAGGGCGGAGGAGAAACGAGGTGGAGGAGGAGGAGGAGAAGGAGGAGGAGGAGGAGGATAGAGGAGCAGGCGGAGGGCGGATGAGAAACGAGATGGAGGAGGATGGCGATGAGGATGAGGATGAGGGTGAGGATAAAGACGAGGATGGGGATGAGGATGAGGATGCTGATGATGCTGATGATGATGTTGATGCGGATGCTGCTGTTGCTGATGATGAAGATGAAGATGATGATGAATATGAAGATGAAGATGAAGATGAAGATGAATATGATGATGATGCTGATGATGATGATGATGATGGTGATGATGATGATGATGATGCTGATGATGATGATGATGATGATGATGATGACCATGATGCTGATACTGATGATGACGATGATGATGATGATGATGATGAGGAGGAGGAGGAGGCGGTTAAGGAGGGGAATCGAGGATGAGGAGGAAGAGGAGGAGGAGCAGGACCAGGAGGAGGAGGAGGCGGAGGAGGTGGAACGGGAGGGAATACAAGGGGGGGGAACATGTTCTCCTCCTCCTCCTCCTTCTCTTATTTCTCTCGTTTGCTTCTCCTCTACCTCTTCTCTATCACACATATTCCTCGTATCCTTCTCATTTCTTCGGCTTCTCCGTCCTGCTCGTTTCAGCCATCCTTACTGGCCCTCCGTATTCCACATCGTCCTAACCGTGTTCCTCCTCCTCCTCCTCCTCCTTCTCCTCCTCCCCCCACTTTTATCCTCGTCGTCAGCACCCTGACCACTCCTTCTCTCTCACCCGAATTCCAGATTCTCCATGCTCCTCTTGATTATTTCTGCGACTCTTTCTGGCGAACAGGCATCCACTAATGTTCTCATCTTGCCGTTTACGAAGCACCCTCCCCTTTCTCCGCTGCCCCCTCTCCTCCACGAAGGCCCCCCAAGGCGTTACCAATGGTGCTGTCTGGCACGGCTAATCCATCGACGCCTTTCGTCGCATTTGGCGCAATAATCCATCGCAGCGACCCCCGTCGCAACCGAAACATGCGAAACGACATGGCAACACATGTTGTCGCAACGCATTCGAATATTTCGTTTCAAACGTTACCCAATGACGTGGGTACTGGACCCACCCATGACGCTTGCTTGGCAAGACCGCGGAGTGGATCTAAAAGGGACGCCGCTCCGCTGGACCCCAACTGGGGCGCATGATAGTGGGGACCGTTATGCGTTTGGCAAGGGTGAGTTCCCTCGTGATCTGCGGACGACGCCACTGCGATTGCGGGACAAGTGAGGGTAGACGTGCATTCGACGGCGATGAAGTCTCGCGTGGTTCGCGTCAGACGCCACTCCGCTGGACCCTCCGCGGACGCATAGCAACACTGGGGGCAAGGTCCCGCGTGATCTGTGAAAAACGCCGCCCCCTGGACAACGGCTCAGTGAAATAGAACCGTTGCACGTCTGGCGGCACCTGGGTGAACCTTGTGTGTGTGTGTGTGTGGCGGAGGGGGGGGGCAATAACGTGGGGCCTGCTGTGGGTTTGGCAGCAGCCCGGGGGAGGGATACTGAACTTGATCTTTCGTAAGATGCAACTCCGCTTAATCCCCCATGCGCCTCTGGCTTATCTCCTTTATACACTGTGCAACTGTCTTCTCATGCTCAAATGTATATCAACCATGTTCGTACTGTTACGCCTCACCTGATCATGATTCGCAACGTACTTGAAAACTTCCGTCATTCTTATTGTGTGGAGATTCGTAAGATTAGCATTCAGGACCGTTGATTTTCACCGTGTTCGAATCACCCGCAATCTTAGTATTGCCATGGTTATGTTTGTCCGCACGTTTCTTCTCTTCTGATTGCTTCAATCACACTGTAAACATATGGACATTCGTACGGTTACAGTGTGCCGCATTCTTCTTCCTATCGTTCGTCATGCTTGTATTGTTCTTCATATTTCCCCTCCTTGAACTCCATATCTGATATCTCCCTCTGTTTTCGACTTCACATCGGCCTCCCGCCTTCTCCGACTGCCTGCTCTCTTCTCCCGCCCACTCCCCCTCCCCCTCCCGCCTGCAATGTTTTGTTTCTTTTCCCTTCTCCCCCCTCCTCTCCTCTCATTGAGGCACGCGGACGCCATGCCCTCAACGGACCAAAATCACCTTCTCTCCTCCTCCTCCCTCCTCTGGGCGACCAGACAGGATGCCGACAACCGACCGCTTCTCCGCGGACCCCGCCCGAGGCGCGCCCTGCGACCCGGATCCCGAGGCGAACCCGGCCGACGCGACGAGGTCCGGGCAGTAACAGGGGTACATCTTCCTTCCCCGATCCTCCGGGAGGATCAGGGGCGGAAGAGGCACCACTCCTCCCTGCCCCCCCCCCTCCTCCTCCCCTCCTCTCCCCTCCTCCCTGGCCCCCACACCCCTCCTCCCCTGCTCTCCTCCCTGCCCCCCCCCCCCCCCCCTCCTCCCTCCTCTCCTCCCTGGCCCCCGCGCCCTCCTCCCCTGCTCTCCTCCCTGCCCCCCCCCCCCCCTCCTCCCCCTCCTCCCCCCTCTCCCTCCCGCCGCCCGCCCCCTCTCCCCCCCCCCCCCTCCCCCTGTGGGCGCTCCCGCCCCGCTCCCGCACCCTGCCCACCCACCCCTCCGCCTCTGTGCTCCCGTCCCCTGCCCAGACATCCCACATCCCGATTCTCTCGAGACACGGGCAGCCCAGGAAAGGCACTCTGGGGGCGTCTGCGGGCAGCCTGGGAAAGGCACCTGGGCACTGCCTGCGGGTAGCCCAGACCTCCCGACCACTTCCCTGGAACCGGTTTTTCATCCCGAGTGGTTTTTTGACGGTCCCGAGGCCCGGCGAGGGCCCCGAGAGTTAAGTCGGGCGTGTCCCCCTACAGGGGGACGAAAAACAAAATTACGCTACCGAGGAACCCCACATACTTGACTTAAATCTTGTGTGTCTGCTCAAATTTATAATATATGCGCAATTCTGCGTTCTCAGCCCTCGTCATCCAACGCCATATTGCTTGAACCTCCTCCCTCTTCCTAGCCTTCTATCCTCCGTCGAGGACAGATTCGAGCCAGCCAGCGGCCGCGGTGAGGGACCACCCCCTGCGCACCCTCGATGGTGTCGAGAAAATGCAACGCCTGCTATGCCCTGGACGACCGTCGTGCGTAGCGGCCGCGGTGAGGGACCACCCCCTGCGCAGCCTCTATGGTGTCGAGAAATGCCGCGCCTGCTATGCCCTGGACGACCGTCGTGCATAGCAGCCGCGGTGAGGGACCACCCCCTGCGCACTCTCTATGACGTCGAGAAAGTGCCACGCCTGCTATGCCCTGGACGACCGTCGTGCATAGCGGCCGCGCTGAGGGACCACCCTCTGCGCACCTCCTGTGGTGCCACGCCTGACACGATCTGCGAGCGTGTCACGGATAGAGGCCGCGCTGAGGGACCACCCTCTGCGCACCCCCTGTGGTGTCGAGAAAGTGCCACTCCTGCCACCATCTGCGAGCGTGTCACGGATAGAGGCCGCGCTGAGGGACACCACCCTCTGCGCACCCCCTGTGGCGTCGAGAAAGTGCCACGCCTGCCACGCCCTGCGAGCGTGTCACGGATAGAGGCCGCGCTGAGAGACCACCCTCTGCGCACCCCCATGTGGTGTCGAGAAAGTGCCACTCCTGACACGATCTGCGAGCGTGTCACGGATAGAGGCCGCGCTGAGGGACCACCCTCTGCGCACCCCCTGTGGTGTCGAGAAAGTGCCACTCCTGACCACGATCTGCGAGCGTGTCACGGATAGAGGCCGCGCTGAGGGACCACCCTCTGCGCACCCCCTGTGGTGTCGAGAAAGTGCCACTCCTGCCACGATCTGCCGCGCTGAGCGTGGTGTCGAGAAAGTGCCACTCCTGCCACGATCTGCGAGCGTGTCACGGATAGAGGCCGCGCTGAGGGACCACTCTCTGCGCACCCCCTGTGGTGTCGAGAAAGTGCCACTCCTGCCAAGGTTTGCGACCGTGTCACGGATAGAGGCCGCGCTGAGGGACCACCCTCTGCGCACCCCCTGTGGCGTCGAGAAAGTGCCACTCCTGTCACGATCTGCGAGCGTGTCACGGATAGAGGCCGCGCTGAGAGACCACCCTCTGCGCACCCCCACCCCCTGTGGCGTCGAAGGAATGCCCTGTGTGCTATGGTGTGCTGTGCTGTGCTGTGCTGTGCTGTGCTGTGCTGTGCTGTGCTGCTGTGCGGTGAGCTGTTCTGTGCCGTGCCGTGCTGTGCGGTGTTGTGCTGTGCTGTGGGAGAAGGAGAAGGGGAGGGGGGAGGTGTGAGACGCGGTGCGGCGCGGCAGGGAAGAAAACCAGAACCCCACGAAACATGTGGGGAAATACCCCCAAAATGCCAAACAAATGCTCAAACATAGTAAAACATAGTCCCCAGACTATTTTTGTTTTACTATTTTTGGAATATTCCCCCTGTAGAGGGACAGGCCCGACTTAACCCGAGAGGCCGACAACGACGCAAAGCCTCCGTCTCGTTTCTTTTGTTTTCTGGAACGCCCGACGTCTGGGTCTGTGCTCCCCCCCCCTGCTCCCCCAGGGAGGCGGCGCTCGGCCCGAGTCGGCCACGCGCAAGAGTGACCCTGGGCAGGAGTGACCTGTGGTGCGCGGCGTTTCGTGACCGCGGGAGGGGGGCAAAACACAGGCGCGCGAGCCGCTGCTGCCGCTTCTCTTTCTCGGCCAGCTGGGGGCCCACCTGTGCCCGCACCAAAGGTCCCTCCGACGGAAGGTCACCCTTACGCCCAGTCGACTCGGAGGGGGGGGGGACCTTAGTTCGGGCGTTGGAAGGACTGGGTTTAGTGGAACCTGGTTTAGTGATTTGTACTGGGGGCGCCCCCCCGTCCCATTTCCACTAACCGGAACTGCCATCACCCGAAAAACACCAGTTACGGCAAACCTGGCTCAGTGAATCTGGCCAATTGAGGGGCCCCAGGGCCCTACCACTAACCGGGTTCCCTTACCCAGGGTCCTGGCTATACCCGATTAGTGGGCCCCGGAAACGGCAGGGCCGGTTTTCCACCGCTTCCGAAAAAATGCCCCTTGAACATGGAAACAACAACAAAAAGGTGACCGGAAACGGCAAAAAAAACGGCTGCAAGAAAGGAACCGGAGCGGGAACCCGTAAAAGAAAGGCGACCCAACCGGCAAAGAAACGGCGTCAGATCCGGCATCAAAAACGGCAAAACGGAAGCGGTAAAAAACGGCCCTGTCGTTTCCAGGGCCCACTAAGGGGGGGACGATGAGGAGGAGGAGGAGGAGGAGGAGGAGGAGGAGGAGGAGGAGGAGGAGGAGGAGGAGGAGAAAAAAGGAGGTGGAAGAGGAGGCGGAGGAGGAGGAGGAGGAGGAGGAGGAGGAGGAGGAGGAGGAGGAGGAGGAGGAGGAGGAGGAGGGGGGGGGGGAGGAGGGGGGACTGCCTGCGGCTGAGTGCCAGCCGGGCGCCCCCGGCCTCCACGCGTGCGGCTGCTCGTCGGACATCGGCGGCGGGCTGTCAAGGGTCTGGAGGGCCGGGCGGCCACGCGGAGACGGGCAGGCCCACCCCCCCTGCTCCTCCTCCTGCTGCTCCTGCTCCTCCTGCTCCTGCTCCCCTTCCTCCTCCTTCCCCCCCCCCTCCTCCTCCTCCTCCTCCTCCTCCTCCTCCTCCTCCTCCTCCTCCTCCTCATCCTCCTCCTCCTCATTTCTCCTCCTCCTCCTTCCTCCCATTGTTCTCCTCCTTTTTCTCCTCTTCCTCATGTTTCTGTCCTTCCTCCTCCTCCTTCCTCCTCCTCACTCCACATCCTCCTCCTTCTCCTCCTCCTTCCTCCTCCTTCTCCTCAGAGGAAACGGTCGACACATAAAATGAGAGATCTTGCCACAATAAATCTAGAATCTAGAAGCACTGTGTGGTCCAAGTTCTAGCTTCCTGAGGTGCCTCAGGGCTTCTGTGGGCCACGAAAGACTTCGGTAGGCAGGCAACTTCCGTGGAGCACCTGCAAGCAGGCCAATTCTTCTTTGACCCGCCTTCTGTAGGGGATGTGTTGCGAGCGAGCTGCATTGACGATGCCATTACAGCTGGCTCCTGGAAGATTGCTCGCCTCAGGCTGCTTTCCAACAACTGCGCCTCGTCGAAAGTGCTCTGGGAGTGTCCGAGTCGTCCCGGACGGTCGCTGGATGCTACCGCTCTTCAAGCGAAGAGCAACAAGACCAATCATAATCGAATCGGGAAATCGATGGAATCGGAACGTGCGCCGGATCGGCTGCATTTGAACGTATCCAAAATCGGATCGAATCGTCCGCGACAGGATGCATAATGACACCATGCAGGTAACGAACCGCATTGGACCATCGTAACACCGGAATCGAACGGGACTCGCTGACATCGCCATTGAATCGCATCGATAAGATCGAGACGGACCCTGACAGAGCGCGAGCACCCAATATTCGTGATTGCCTACCTCGCATCAGCAACCACAGCGAGGAAGGATCGCACTGCCAATGGACTTTGGGAGAGAGCCGAATGAGAACGGGGAAGGAGGCTTCGGCTACACGCAGAGCAACCCAAAGAAAGAGTCACCTCCGCTGCGCAGCTTGCTCGTCGCCCGTCGCTGCATGCGATGCGACAGCAGCTGCCTACGTGCTTAGCGTTGCCCTCCCCCTGGCCCTCCAGAAAACTGGGCACCCAAGGCCACTCTGGTGAAGGGTCACCCCATATGTGAAGCCGAAGGGCGGTCGGTCAACGGGGTTGCGTTCGAATAATACGCCTAGCTTAACCAATAGAAGGGTGTTCTAGTGGTGGTGCTTATTACTGAAGATCGTCTCAATGAAATGCGGGCCCATCGCCCAAGGCGCATGCCAGCGCCAGCGACCTGAAAGCTGAGATTTTGGGATTGAAGCTTTATCGCGCTATTGGCGTCGATGTCTGGCCAGACGCCTTGATCTCAGCCAGTGGGGTGGAGGGAAACCTTTCTTGACATGAACGGGAAGCGCGTGAAATCAAAGAGCTTGGCAAGAACGTGCAGCAACATCAATTTCGCATGTCGCGTAGACGCTCTCCCCGAACGTCCACAAGGAATACCAGGTGGACTTCGCTATCCGCGCCCGTCCAGACGTGCCGCTGACCCCGAACGTCCGCAAAACGAACCAGATGGAGTTCACGATCCGCGCAAATTCCGACGTGCCGCTCACCCCGAACGTCGGATACCAAATGGAATTCACAATCCACGCAACTTCAGTCACAGCTCACCGCGAACGTCCACAAAAGATACCAGGCAGAATTCACTACCCGCGCGAGTTTAGACGTCGCTCTTACCCCGAACGCCCACAACACATATCAGGTGGAGTTCACTTTCCGCGCGAATTCAATTTTTGTTGGATGTCTCGAGCGAAACGCTATGTTGTTTAACAAAACTTTTGCAAACCCATGGGTTGTTCAATAATTTCGCCTTCGAGGACCCGTCCGAAGGCAATTGTGGGAGGATGTCTCGAACGAAACGCTGAATTTGAGACGAACATGTTAAACAACATGGGTGTTTCAATACTTTCGCTTCTTGGGCCATCTTGAAGGTCATCCGAGATCGCTCCGAAAAGATGCCTTACAAGAGCTCGGTCGGCATCCCATTTTGTCGAGGATGTTTTGGGCGAACCGCCCATTTTCGAGGATCCGAAAATTAGGCGAGCGATTTCAACATCCCGATTTGTTGAGGATGTCTCGAGCGAAACGCCCATGTTCAACCAAAGACGTCTTAAGATACGACCCCCCAACTTCACGATTTGGCCAACGTGTCTCGAACGAAACTGTTATTTTTGGGAACCTTTCTTGACATGAACGGGAAGCGCGTGAAATCAAAGAGCTTGGCAAGACCGTGCACCAACATCAACTTCGCATGTCGCGTAGACGCTCTCCCCGAACGTCCACAAGTGGTACCAGGTGGCCTTCGCAATCCGCGCCAATTCAGACGTGCTGCTGACCCCGAACGTCCGCAAAACGTATCAAATTGAGTTCACGATCCGCGCAAATTCCGACGTGCCGCTCACTCCGAACGTCCACAAAAGATACCAAATGGAATTCACAATCCGCGCAAGTTCAGTAACCGCTCACCGCGAACGTACACAAAAGATACCAGGCAGAATTCACGACCCGCGCGAGTTTAGACGTCGCTCTTACCCCGAACGCCCACAACAAATATCAGGTGGAGTTCACTTTCCGCGCGAGTTCAATTTTTGTTAGGAGGATGTCTCGAGCGAAACGCTGTAACAAAACTGCTGGAAACCCTGTTTTTTTCAACAATGTCGCCTTCGAGGACCAGTCCGAAAGCAATTGTTGGAGGATGTCTCGAGCGAAACGCTGATTTGCAACGAAAAATTTAAAACCACGTGGGTTTTTCAATGCTTTCGCTCATTGGGCTATCTTGGAGGTCATCCGAGATCGCTCCGGACAGATGCCTTACAAGAGCTCTGTCGGCATCCCATTTTGTCGAGGATGTTTTGGGCGAGCCGCCCATTTTCGAGGATCCGAAAATTAGGCGAGCGACTTCAACATCCCGATTTGTTGAGGATGTCTCGGGCGAAACGCACAGTTTTAGCAACATACGTCTTAAGATACGACCCCCCAACTTCACGAGTTGGCCAGGATGCGTTGAGCGAAACCGTTATTTTTGGGAACCTTTCTTGACATGAACGGGAAGCGCGTGAAATCAAAGAGCTTGGCAAGAACGGGCACCAACATCAACTTCGCATGTCGCGTAGGCGCTCTTCCCGAACGTCCACAAGTGGTACCAAGTGGCCTTCGCAATCCGCGCCAATTCAGACGTGCTGCTGACCCCGAACGTCCGCAAAACGAACCAAATTGAGTTCACGATCCGCGCAAATTCCGACGCGCCGCTCACTCCGAACGTTCACTAAAGATACCACATTGAATTCACAATCCGCGCAAATCCAATAACCGCTCACCGCGAACGTCCACAAAAGATACCAGGCAGAGTTTACTACCCGCGCGAGTTTAGACGTCGCTCTTACCCCGAACGCCCACAACAAATATCAGGTGGAGTTCACTTTCCGCGCGAGTTCGAAACTTGTTGGGAGGATGCCTCGAGCGAAATGCGTTGTTTTTAACAAAACTGCTGAACACCCATGTGTGTTTCAAGAATTTCACCTTCGAGGACCCGATCGAAAAGACAGTTATTGGAGGATGTCTCACGCGAAACGCTGCATCTTGGAGGTCATCCGAGATCGCTCCGAAAAGATGCCTTACAAGAGCTCTGTCGGCATCCAATTGTTTCGAAGATGTCTCGGGCGAGCCAACCTTTTTTCGAGGATCCGATAATTAGGCGAGCGATTTCAAGATCTTTATGTTTGGAGGATGTCTCGAACGAAACGCCCATGTTTAGCACAAGACGTCTTAAGATACGACCCCCAACTTCTCCATGTTGTGAAGCTGTCTCGAGCGAAACGCTATTTTGGGGAACCTTTCTTGACATGAACGGGAAGCGCGTGAAATCAAAGAGCTTCGCAAGAACGTGCACCAACATCAACTTCGCATGTCGCGTAGGCGCTCTTCCCGAACGTCCACAGGGGGTACCAAGTGGCCTTCGCAATCCGCGCCAATTCAGACGTGCTGCTGACCCCGCACGTCCACAACAAGAACCAGATGGAATACAAGATCCGCGCAAATTCCCACGTGCCGCTCACTCCGAACGTCCACAACAGATCACATGGAATTCACAATCCGCGCAACTTCAGTCACCGCTCACCGCGAACGTCCACAAAAAGGTACCAGGTGGAGTTCAGTACCCGCGCGAGTTAAGAAGACGTCGCTCTTACCCCGAACGCCCACAAAATATATCAGATGGAATCCACTTTCCGCGCGAGTTCAAAACCTGTTGGAGGATGTCTCGAGCGAAATGCCCAGTTTTTTTAACAACACGGTTGAACCCCATAGGTTTTTCAATAATGTCGCATTCGAGGGCAACTCCGACGGCAACATGTGGAGGATGTCTCGAGCGAACTGCTGACTTTTCAACAACAATGTTAAAGCCACATAGTTTTTCAATACTTTTGCTTCTTGGGCCATCTTGGGGGTCATCAGAGATCGCTCCGAAAACATGTCTTACAATAGATCTGTCGGCATCTCGTTTTTTCGAGGATGTCTCGAGCGAAATGCCCATGTCCGAGGATCCGAAAAATAGGCAAGCGATTTCAACATCCCGATTTGATGGGGATCTCTCGAGCGAAACACCCATTCTTAGTTAACGACGTCTTAAGATACGACCCCCAATGTCTCGATGTTGTGAGGATGTGTCGAGCGAAACGCTCGTTTTTTAAAACCTTTCTTGACATGAACGGGAAGCGCGTGAAATCAAAGAGCTTGGCAAGAACGTGCAGCAACATCAATTTCGCATGTCGCTCAGACGCTCTCCCCGAACGTCCACAAATGGTACCACGTGGACGTCGCTATTCAAACGTATCCGCGCAAATTCCAACGTGCCGCTCGCCACGAACGTCCACAAAAGATACCAAATAGA